GCTGGGGATCTGGCCCATTGACTCCTATGGAGCGATGCTGATTCACAGCAGCTGGGGATCGGTCCCGTGATTGCTGATCCATAGTGGGTGAGCGATCCCTCTGTGTCATAGTACAGGCCAACATCCCCTAGTCTAACCTCACCTGTCCTGGGGGTTTCCCCTGCTTCCCAGTTGGAGCTATTGGAACCATTTACCAGGGTCATGGTGGATTCTCCATCACAGATCATTTTTAAAGCAACGCGGGATGTTTTTCTCAAAGCTCTGCTCTAGGAATTATTGGGGGCAGGTCTCTGGCCTGTTATCCAGTGGTCAGACTAGCTGATCACAATGGTCCCCTCTGTCCTTGGAATCTGTAACTCCTTATGATCTCCTCCATTCAATCTTCTACGCTCTCTGCTTCCTGGCCTCCAGGGTCTCTCATTCGGCCCCCATCTGCACTGCTCCTTGCTCAGCATGGGGATGGGCATGGAGAGGTTCTAGCTATTCACTCTTCTCTGGCAGCCAGGTGGGGAGACTGAACCTGTGTCAATCCATGTGGCAGCTGAGTCCTAGGACACAGATCCTGGCTGGTCCTGGTCACTCTGTGGGCCTTTTCTCTCTGGGTCTGCCCTCTGTGGGACTGTCCACTAAGAAGTGGGACAGAACTGAAGGGGGCTGTGTGGGAGCTGTTAATGCCCCAACAGCACAGTGGCTTTACAGCCTCTATTAAAGAGCAGGCTAATGGCACAAGATGGACAGGCAGGAGATCTTGAGTTGTAGAAACTCTGACATTTTTGCTCTTAAATGTTGAAGCTTCCCCAACTTCGGGGGTTTCACAAAATGTGTTTCCTAGAGGTGGGTTTGAACCCAAGCCCTAGCTCCAAGTGCCCCAAAATTTGGGAGAGTCCAAGCTGAACTTTCAGGGTCTAATTTTGCTCCCCCTTCTCCGTTTCTCTCTGAGTCCCGAACTCAATCAAGTAGTAGCAATTTAAAGCCCACTCTGAACTTCCCTATGGGGTGACCCTGGGCAAGTTCCTTCCCTTCTCTGGGTCTCAGTTTCCCTCTAGACTGTAAGCTCTTTGGAGCAGGGGCTCTCTCCTACTACGTGTGTCTGTGCAGCACCCTGCAGCCCTGATCTCAGTTAAGGCCCCTGGGCACTGTGATAATACACCTAATAATATTGCATCCAGCACATTCCACAAACATAACTAGTTAACCATCCTGACACTAGATTTGGAAACTGAGGCAGAAAGGAGAAAGAAATGACTTGCATTGCACGATCTGGAGTCAGAGCTGGGATTGGAACACAGGAGACCTTGGGCTCCCAGTCGCAGAATCGACCCACTAGGCCATGCCTCTCCCTCCCTAATGGACAGAATTCAGGTGAAGCCCCCAACAGCTACTCAGCACCCACTCCCTACCTATGCATTCTCATCGGCGCTGCCTGCAGCCTGCCCCACAGCCCTGGCTGTGCTAAACAAAGGGCTTGCCAGAGTGGATCAACCTAATAGTCTACCCAGGCCTGTCTACAACTGGCCAGTCCCAGCTACGTCAGAGGAAGATGGATTCTTGCAGTGGGCAGACAGTTGAAGAAGCAGTGAGGGGACCAAAGCTGCCAGGTTAGGGGCAGCTAGAGTGAAGGGGGAAAGGTCTGGCTGAGGTTTGCCCATGGCGTGATGAGCTGTACTTATGCTATTGCCAGGGAGGGGAGGGGCATGCATGAGTGTCACCAAGCAGGCGCGCCCTGCTGTCCTGGATGCTGCCTTCTCGGAGCTATGCGGCTGCAGCCTACTACAGAGCACAGAGCAGGTCAACTTTAGGCACCTTGTTTTAGTTGCTACTCAAAAATCATACAGGAAAAAACAAAACCAAACCAAAACCCCCAACATGAGTAGCTCGAGAATGAACCTCGCCAGAGCCGCAGGGAGTGGGGGAGGCGGTGGATTTTCCCTTCTAAACTCAGTTCAGTTTGCTTTAGTCATGATCCAAACCCTTCCATGTGCCATAGTAGCCAGCACTGCAGGTGGGATTTACAGGCTCTGTCCTTGTCATGGAGGCGATAGCAACACATCCTTAATCGGGCAAACTGCCATGCAGGCAATGGGAGCCTTTAAAAAACCCTTTCTCCGATGCCTTGAACTTGCACCACTAATCCACGCAGAAGAGCTGCCTGAGACCCCGATGCCCCGCTTGCACGGAGCGCCTGGGAAGGAACCTGCAGCTGAACTGGTCCTGTCTATGGTGGATGGAAAGCCACCCAGAGCCTTCCCACCAAGTCACCCCACAGTGCCCAGCTTTGTCATTTGTAAGCCCATGCTGCCACGCCATCTGACCGACAGCAATGGGGGCGGAACGCGGGTGGCCAGCCACGCCTTGCAGTTCTTCTCCAGGTCCAGCCCCGGGGGGAGGGCAGTCAAGGAGTAACCCAGTGGCCTGCTGTAGGCAGCAGACTCTGCTGGGCTGGAATCCAGCCTGTGGTTACACCCACACAGTCCCACCCATTTCAGTGGCATTGCACGAGAGTCAGCACTGGCAGAATCTGGCCCTCTGTTCATGCAGGTTGCTGCAATGCTGACTTGAACCAGGGACCTCCTGTGGGCTGCAGGCAGCGCCCTATCGAAGAGCCCCTCCCCCACCAGTTGAGCAAGAAGAAGGGGTGCTAAACTGGCAGTCAGCTCATGCCACCTCCTGGGGTGATCTCCAGGGGGAAGGATGTTACCCCTCCCCCCCTTCCTCATGGCCCAGCACCTCTGTGGTCAGGATGATGTCCTAGGGAGGGTCTGGGTCTCCCTGAGAGCTGATTCCTTATGGGGGTGGCGGTGGGCAGGTCCTGAACACCTTATTGCTCAGTGTGCAGCTGTGGACGTGGGCATGCAGGAGGAAAGGCCCACTCGTTCTGCACCCCAGATTCTGCCATTACTGACTCCAGTGTGATCCCACTGAAACCACTGTGTGGGTCTAAGTGGGGACAGGATTCTAGCCCAGCAGAGCAGGGCTAGTGTCTGCTCCCTCCAGCAGGGCCACGCCCAATCGCAAGGTGCAACATGCGAAGTCTCTGCTGGAACGTGATAAACCCGCCCGAGGGGACCGTCCTCTCGGAAAGGGTGTGAAAATAAGGGCCTGATCCTGACTAAAGCAAAATTCCCAGCGAAGTCAAAGAGCCAAAGCCAGAGGCCAGGAAGGATTTACTCAGGACCTACTCTAGAAGCTCCCACTGATTTTAAAGACATGTTTTGCCTAAGGACTGAGGGCCAGATCTCCAGTTGGTGGAAATTAGTGTCACTCTGCTGGAGCCAATGGGCTAAATCCCTAGCTGGTGTAAACACATTGCTCTCCGTAGTAGATGTAGCACGGTATCCTCCAGCTGTGGCCCCAGCACTGCTCCCAGCTGCAGTACTTAGGCTAGGTCTACACTACGGGGCGGGGGGGGGGGGGGGGGGGTCGCCCTAAGATACCCAACTTCAGCTATGGGAATAGCTCAAGTGGCGTATTTTAGGTCGACTTACCTGGCTGTGAGTACGGCGGCGAGTCGACCGCTACCGCTGCCGCGCCGCCGTCGACTCCGCTTCCGCCTCTTGCCGCGATGGATTTCCGGAGTCGACGGAAGAGCCATCGGGGATCGATTTTATCGCGTCTTCACTAGGTGCGATAAGTCGATCCCCAATAGATCGATTGCTACCCGCCGATTCGGCGGGTAGTGAAGACGTGCCCTTAGGAACAGTATTGCAGAGTCCTTTAATAGGAGCCAAATGCCAAAGCCTTTCCTTAGGCAAAGCTCTCAGCCCCTTGACGGGGTAAGGCCCAGGTAAACGCCGAGTTCAGGAAGGACTTGGCCCTATGGGACAGATGCTGATCTGTTATCCCAGCGTTCATCTAAAGCAACTCCACTGAAATCAATGGGGGAAGGAGCTCCAAATCAATCCCTTATTTCCAGAAGGGTTTGTGCCTTCAGGCCGCTCTCTGAAGCTGCTAGTCCTCGGCTGGCGCTGTACAGAATAAATAAAACGAGGCGGCGGCGCATGACCAGCTCCGTAACCAGCCAATGGATTCACCAGCCATCTTCTGGTGTAAACAGCACAGGGAAGTGGCACCTGGAGCGAAAGGCGATGGCAGAGAAAGGCCTGCATGTGAATCACCCTCAGCTCGTGTGGGATGCTGCTGCTCTCGGAGGGGGGGAAGGGGGATCACAAGAATTTGGCAATACAGTGCAGCATGTATATATATATAATATATATATTAAAATATACAGATTATAAATACCCAACCAAAGCCTCTCCCAGGCATATTTATAGAAGTGTACATAATACTCCAGTCCAGTGACGTGGTGGAACGGTGAGGGGCTCAGTCCACTGGGGCTGTTGTTTTCCATCTCAGAAGGGGAAGGTTTAGGATATGGGGGAAGGTTCTGTCAAGCTGGGAGGTCCAAGGCACCCCTCCTTTGGAAACAGACCGAGTGAACTTAATACACCAGCGGGGAAGGGGAGAGCTATGGAAATACCTGTTGGCAGGGGAGGGTTGGAGGTGTAGTCTATTGAAAGTGACGTTTGCAATCGGCCGCAGAGGAAATCAGGCAAAGCCACCCATGGGAATGGGTTTTCCTCAGCTGCTGGATGTCCGGGTTTACTGAATTCAGAGAGCAGAAGGGAAATACGAGGAGGGTGTAAAGCAGGGGCAGGATGGAAAGAAAGAAAGGGCCAGAGGAAATAAAACTCAAGTCCATAAGAGAGCCAGCCAGATAATCTCCGCAGGGACTGATGGATCCAGCCAGCTCCACACCCCTTCCATCGCTCTTCTCTCTGCCCGAGCAGGTCTGTGCGCAGGCTGCTCTCGATGGCCGGTGCTCTCCATAAATAGAACAGCCAATGGGCAACAAAGCATCCCATGCGCTCAAGGTTTCAAAGCAGCCACTGGTGCCTAGCAGCATCAGTCTCTCCCACAGACATGACAATGGCCCCAAAAGGGCCCTCCCGCCATGTCCCAGCACCACGTGAACTCTGGTCCTGAGCCCCACTCCCTTCGTTTGCCATCCAGGTGCCTGGGAAATTCAGCCTTTATCCCAGCCACCCGAGATCTTCCATCCCCGCTAGGAGCAGCCAGTCCTGGAGATCTCGCCTTTCATTTCCATCTGTGCTCTCCGAAGGGGTATTAGAATGGAGCTGTGTTGCTGCTGCACAGAGGGGGTGGAAATGAACCAACACGACAGCCTCAGGTGCTTGCAGCTCTATGGCATCTCTCCACCACCAGGAAGTGATGTAAAGCCCCGAAGCAGGAAGTGATGCAATACTCGGACTCTGTCACAAACAAATGGAAGCGCAATCTGGACCGTTTTGTAGTGAGGGAAGCAGAGCCAGACATGTCCCCTCACACACTGGAAATTAGGAGTCAGAGCTGTAGACAAAACAGACTAGCTCCTGCGCTGGTGTAGATCAATGTAGTGCCATTTACTGCAGCAGAGCTCTGGGCATTTGCACCAGCTGAGGAGCTGGCTTGCTGACTGCAAGCAAAGCTCTTTGGGTGAAGGGCTGTGGTGGTGGGCCTGGCCGGCTCTTCCACAGAAATGATACTAGATGGGCACTGCTGCCAAGAATGATGCCGCTAGCCAGGGTGGGAGCACCACAGGCAGCGCTTTATTGGATAATTCCTTCAACGAGGATCACGTTTGCAGACTGGCTCCATCCCAAGGAAGCTGCTTCACCTGCTGCCTGATCACCAGGGCAGGCTTTGAAGTGGTGAATGGTTCAGCAATTCTGGCCCAGGGTGGCCCATTTGGAGATAAGTAGCTTGGGTTTCTCTCTGATTAGGAGCTGAGTTCTCTACTAAGGGCCACTCCAAGGAGCGGGCATTTCCATCATCTGACCAGGGCTTGCTGGGCTGTGCATGCTGTCCATCCATCGCTCCAAATCTCCTTACTGCTCTGGTGGACTGGAGGGCATCTCACAGGGCTATGGAAACTTGGTGCCAGCTGCAGAGCTGGGAGAGCCAGTTCAGAGGAACACAGGCCAGGCTGGCTGAGGGAGGTGAAGCCCCATCATGCATAGAAACAAACGTCCTCCAGATGATTCCCAGCTGGGGACTTCTCTCTATGCTCCTCCCCAAACCGCTCCTGCTTACCGGGCACCTTTGCTGTGCACCAGACAGATCTTGGTCGGGATACGAGATTTCAGGTGGCTCTCTGGGTAGAGTAAGAAAGGTTCTCCTAGGGGATTTGTTTCCACATAGCCCTCTCCAGACAGGGAGGTTGGAAACCCTGCAGTTTGCCATGTGGAGCAGAAGAGAAAGGCAACAGTTACAACACCTTCTGGAGAACGTAACGGTGCAGGAGATTGAGAGCACAGCTCCCTTACGGATGGAGGACAGGAAGGCAGCAGGGCAGAACGCTGCTCCCAGATTCCCTTATGACACAATGTCAGTGTAATTTCCTAGAACTTAAAGCTTAGTGTGGAGCTCTCCGAGGGGAGCCCAGTTGGCATCATAACAGTTTAAATAAATAACATCTGGAGAACAAAAATAAAATATAATCTCTCATGTAACCAAGCAGGCTCCTCGATCCAGAATCCCCCGCACCGGGCCCTTCCCATCCTGGGGAGAGCTCTCTTGGGAATAGGGATATGAAGGCCTCCAACTCTCCCCTCTCCGAGCAGATGCTCTCGGGATCATCGGGGACACACATTTAAATAAAAGGAAGAGGGACCCAACTTCCCGCCCTCTGAGTGTGGAGGGGAGGGAAATGGTTTGTTGGCCAGTTGCCCAAGGGTGCTCAGACTCGGTGGATGGTCATTGGGCCCAGATATCCAGCGGCCTTGCCACTTCCACCCCTGCTCACGATGACATTGAGCTGAGTTCTCAAGTGTGCAAACTTTTGGGGGAGGGCAATACAGGAAGGAGGCATTAGGGGCGGGGTGGGGCGAATGAGGGTTACTCAATGGAGTCGGAGTGTAACTACTGGTGATGACAGAGCAGGAGAAAGGCAGTGCAGACAACAATCAAAGTACAGGTTCTGTATAACACAGGCCGGCTGGAGAGCTGTCCCCGCATGGCAGCGGACGTGCAATGCTCTCTGAGCCCAGCTATCGTGTTGGGTCTATGATCTCCCCCACCTGCTGCTACTGAGAGCACCAAGGAGAGGAGTCTCTTCTCTCCAGGCTGTGCGCTCAGTGCCCGTTTGGTGGAGGGGGGGATCCCCCTGGCATCGGCATCTCCTCTCACTTGCTGAGGGTCTCTCCGAAGATGATCTGCGGCTCCATCTCGCCGTCAGCCTCCGTGGTGGAGGTGGGGTCCTCGGGCTCACTGTCCGTGGAGCCGTCACTCTCCTTGCCAGAGCTCTCCATGCCCCGCAGGAAGCGGGCATTGCAGGGTGAGAGTGGGTATAGCACGTCCTGCAGCGCGCCCACCACCATGGGGTTGGTCAGCAGCTCCTCATCTGAGGAGTGCAGCGAGTCCTCGTCCACCGCCAGGTGGCTCACAATGTGGATGCCATCAAAGCCCATGGAGTCCTCGAAGGGCTTCTGGCCCTTCATCAGCCGGATCTGGAGGGCACAGGGAACCGGAGGTGAGGAACAGAAGTGACAGGGCTGGCGCATGCACCCTCTCTAGCCCTGCCTGTCTGGCCTGGAGGGGGAGGGGCAGGGCACGATGGAGCTCAGAAATACACTGGGGGATCTGGCAGTCTAATCCCCCAGAGACAAAAGGGTGTACAGACAGTTCCCTCAAGGGGGGAGCAGAGGGCTGACTGGGTTACATTAATGGAGATTACCTCTTCCCAGTGTGGGGTAGAGGGAGCTTGTGGGGAGGGGGAGCAGAGACAGCCCCTCCCGGTATGGGGCAAAGGGAGCTCTGGGGAGTGGGAGGAGCAGAGAGCCCCACGCAGCATAGGGCAGACACAGCTCCCCAGTATGGGACAGAGGAGGATGGCTGATGGAGGATGGCTGCTTACCCACAGAGCCGATCTTGTGGCTGAGAAATTCAACTGAGAGAATTTCTTGGCTCTGCACAACCTTGGGCAAGTCACATGCCCGCTCTGTGCCTCAGTTTCCCTGTCTGTTCAGGGGTTAATAATGCTGTCCCACCTCCCAGGGTGGGGTTGTGGGGCTGAATTCATTCCTCTTTCCAAAGTGCTCTGACTCAGATCCCCAGCTGGTGTAAATGGGCAGAGCTCTATGGGAGTCAGTGGACCAGATCCTCACCTGGTTTAAATCAGCATTGCTATACTGGAGTCAATGGGGCTACAGAAATTTACACCAGCTGAGGATCTGGCCCAATGCAGTCTGGCGACCTCTGTCACCTGGGAATTCAGTGTACAAAGCATCACACCGGGTGACACTGTGACAGACAGGCTTCCCCAAGCAGTGAATCCCAAAAGCCTTTAGGCCTCATGGCACCAGAGCAGTCCATCACAGGTTAACGGAGAATCAGAGAACTCAGACAGACAGCGAGCATGGCCCAGCAGGTGAGGCATCAGACTAGGAGACAGGAGACATCAGGGTTGTTTGAATTATGGTAGCATCTAGAGGCCTCAACCAGAGCCAGGGTCCCACTGTGCTGGGCACTGCATGGACCCCAAGCAAGACTGGGGTCCCTGCCTGAGACAGGGGCCTGGTCGTGTTGGGTGCTGCCAAACCCTGCCTGAGATTGGGGACCCATCATACCAGGCACTGTCAGACTCCAGCCTACCAAAATCTGTGCGTGACAGAGCAGCTGCTAGAGTTTCTACTGAGCCCAGCTCCCCATCTGGGCTTGTCCTGGGTGTTGTTGAAGGTGCTGGCTGGCTGACTCAGAAGCATACCTCTGATCTCTATCAGCTCCCCTGGAAATCAGTGACTTGGAAGCCTTAGTCATAGGCTGTTCCTCAACTCGACGTTACTATGCGTAGGGGGCTGTGGTCTGCCACAAAGATACTAGTATGAGAGTCCCGGGAGCTAATATACACTGTCTTCAACCAGCCTGGTTTAACAGTGAAATCTTTGGTGAGCTTAAACTCAAACAGGAAGCTTACAAGAAGTGGAAATTTGGACAGATGACTAGGGAGGAGTATAAAAATATTGCTAGAGCATGCAGGGGTGTAATCAGGAAAGCCAAGGCACAACTGAAGTTGCAGCTAGCAAGGGGTGTGAAGGGTAACAAGAAGGGTTTCTACAGGTATGTTAGCAAGAAGAAGGTGCTCAGGGAAAGTATGGAACCCTTAATGAACAGGGGAGGCAACTTAGTGACAGATGATGTGGAAAAAGCTGAAGTACTCCATGCTTTTTTTGCCTCGGTCTTCACAGACAAGGTCAGTCCCCAGACTGCTGCACTGGGCAGCACAATATGGGGAGGAGGTGAGCAGCCCTCAGTGGTGAAAGAACAGGTTAAGGACTATTTCGAAAAGCTGGACATGCACAAGTCCATGGGTCCAGATCTAATGCATCCAAGGGTGCTGAGGGAGTTGGCTGATGTGATTGCAGAGCCATTGGCCATTATCTTTGAATATTTGTGGCGATCGGGGGAGGTCCCAGACAATTGGAAAAAGGCAAATATAGTGCCCATATTTAAAAAAGGGAAGAAAGAGAACCCGGGGAACTACAGACCAGTCAGCCTCACTTCAGTCCCTGGCAAAATCATGGACCAGGTCCTCAAGGAATCCATTTTGAAGCACTTGGAGGAGAGGAAGGTGATCAGGAACAGTCAACATGGATTCACCAAGGGCTGGTCATGCCTGACCAACCTGATTACCTTCTATGATGAGATAACTGGCTCTGTGGATATGGGGAAAGTGGTGGATGTGATATATCTTGACTTTAGCAAAGCTTTTGATACGGTCTCCCACAGTATTCTTGCCAGCAAGTTAAAGAAGTACGGATTAGATGAATGGACTATAAGGTGGATAGAAAACTGGCTAGATTGTCGGGCTCAACGGGTAGTGATCAATGGCTCAATGTCTAGTTGGCAGCTGGTATCAAGCGGAGTGCCCCAGGGATCGGTCCTGGGGCTGGTTTTGTTCAACATCTTTATTAATGATCTGGATGATGGGATGAATTGCACTCTCAGCAAATTCGCAGATGACACTAAGCTGGGGAGAGAGGTAGATACGCTGGAGGGTAGGGATAGGATACAGAATGACCTAGAGAAATTGGAGGATTGGGCCAAAAGAAATCTGACGAGGTTCAACAAGGACAAGTGCAGAGTCCTGCACTTAGGAAGGAAGAATCCCATGCACCGCCAGAGGCTGGGGACCGACTGGCTAAGCAGCAGTTCAGCAGAAAAGGACCTGGGGATTACAGTGGATGAGAAGCTGGATATGAGTCAGCAGTGTGCCTTTGTTGCCAAGAAGGCCAACAGCATATTGGGCTGTATTTAGTAGGAGCATTGCCAGCAGATAGAGGGAAGTGATTATTCCCCTCTATTCGGCACTGATGAGGCCACACCTGGAGTACTGCGTCCAGTTTTGGTTCCCCCACTACAGAAGGGATGTGGACAAATTGGAGAGAGTTCAGCGGAGGGCAACGAAAATTATTAGGGGGCTGGGACACATGACTTACAAGGAGAGGCTGAGGGAACTGGGGTTATTTAGTCTGCAGAAGAGAAGAATGAGGGGGGATTTGATAGCAGCCTTCAACTATCTGAAGCGGGGTTCCAAAGAGGATGGAGCTCGGCTGTTCTCAGTTGTGGCAGATGACAGAACAAGGAGCAATGGTCTCAAGTTGCAGTGGGGGAGGTCTAGGTTGGATATTAGGAAACACTATTTCACTAGGAGGGTGATGAAGCACTGGAATGGGTTACCTAGGAACTGGTGGAATCTCCATCCTTAGACGTTTTTAAGGCCCGGCTTGACAAAGCCTTGTCTGGGATGATTTAGTTGGGGTTGGTCCGGCTTTGAGCAGGGGATTGGACTAGATGACCTCCTGAGGTCTCTTCCAATCCTAATACTAAGATTCTATGATTCTTCCCCCCACCCCTCTGGATTCTGATCGCTCTCCACAGCCCAGCGCCAAGGACCTTCAAACCCCACCATCTGCGCGATGACATGTCCACCCCGTCCTCTATCAGGGCATGCCAGTGAATGCTCTGCCCCATCCACTGCAGCAGCGACAGCCTCACTGCGGCCCCTCACCTCCTTTTCTCATGAAGCCAAAGGCTTTTCATGGGGAAGGAGATGTGTCCAGCCACCTGTAGAGGCTGCGGAGGTGAACAAACAGCCGCCAGCTACTGGCTCTGCTACACAGGACTGGGGATGTGGGATGGGTATATCACTTCTTCTATGGCCCCAGCACTGTAGTATCTGAGCATCTCATGCACTTTAATGCATTTATCCTAACACCACCACTGTCAGGCGGGGCAGGGCTATCATCCCCACTGTACAAACAAGGAAACTGAGGCACAGAGCGACTAAGCAACTTACCCGAAGTCACCCAGGGAGTCTGTGGCAGAGCAGGGAATTGAACACAGGTCCCCCGAGTTCCTAACCACTGTGCCATCCTAGTCCTAGCTCTCACAACATAGGCATAGTTTGACATAAATGCATATTTGGGAGGACAGTTCCAGCCAGGCCAACGGGACCGTGCGTGGGGGCCAAATTCTGCACCTGGCTTGCAGTTTGGGGGGCCACGCCCCCTATGCCCTTCCCAAACTACGCCCATGTCTTATAGATGGGGATCAGCAGCCAGAAGTCAGCAGCAGAGAGGGCGCTTGCAAGGACAGGTCTGAGCTGAGGGCACTGCCTTTCCCTGGCCCTTCCAAAGCTTTGTGCTACGTAGCACTGAGGGCTGAGTGGTCTATGGGATTGGTGCCTTACATACGCAAACAATGAGGCAGAGACAGAGGAGAGTCGTGATAATACGGGTTGCAACTAGAGATGGGCTGCAGACAAGAGCCCAGGTCTCAACGGCCCCAAATCCAGAGCTCGATCCAGTTCAAAAATTTGCCAACAGCCCAACTTCCTGTGGGCCAGCCCAAAAGCCTGGATCTGGATTTACCCTCCGTGCTGAGGAGGGATCAACTGGAAGGAAGCTGAGTCTGGCATTCCCCATTCGGAAAGTGGTTTCAGGGATCCTGCAAGAAGGACACTGCTATTCACCCCAAGGTCTAAACTCGGGCACAGGGGACCAAGATGGCCTGGCAGGACCCTGGCCAAGGGGGAGCCTGATAAGTCGCTCCCTGCCCCCATAATGGACACAGCACTCGAGGTGGGGACTGCACTCACCTCAGCCTTGAGCTCATCAATCTGGTCCTTGAGCTCCCGGATGTACTGGGAGGAGTCAGAGTTGTTCAGCTGGCCCTGGATCATCCCTTCTTCCCTCTGTGGGGAGTGGGGAGAGAATCAGGCTTGGTCCAAAGGCGACTGGGAACAGAGAGCAGGGATGCCAAGGCAACAACCGTTTCCCTTTCCCATCTCACTCAGAGATCCCTTCCTGATCCCCAGCTGGGATCAGGATAGGCCCTGGAGCAGGAGTGTGGTTTTTGTGCTCACACAGATATACATGCCTGGGTGAGCTGGTTATTTCCCCTCACCTGGATCTCCAGCTCAGCGATCCGCTGCCGCATCTCTGCCACGGCTGCCATGCTGTCGGCCTCCCGCAGCCGCACCGCCATCACCTCCTCTTTGCTCTGTGGTGTCAAACACATGGTGTTAGTGCCAGCGCAACAGCAGGGGGAACAACAGGACTCAGCAAGGGGAGGGTTAAAATCTGCCAAGACCCAGCTCGAGGATATGCCATGCCCCTGCTGAAGACACCACGAACCCCCAACGTGTGTCAGAGCTTCAGAAACCACCCAGATTCTGCTGCCTGGAAATTCATCTGCATTAGCTTGGGGTACAGCCCCTTCCACCTGCATACGGGCTGCACTGTGACCATGTCTGTCCTGCTGGGTCCAGGTCTACACAGGTGGTGGTGTGTTCAAAACAGGTAGGGAAGCCCAGTTGTGGGCCACCTGATCTCTGCCCCCCAAAGCTCATCCCCAGAGCAGGAGGGGTTCCTGAGTCAGCACATCGGGGGCTGTGAATCCCAGGTCTGGGGAGAGGATTTCTGCACCAGCTGCTGTTAGAGTCCCTGTCTGGAGGCCACACCTGGAGGCTGACAGTGCTGGCTTCTTGCCACCTAGCCCTGAAAAGCAGCCAGGTGAATTTCACCCAGTGCCAAGCAGAGCAGAGTTGGCTGGGGCAGGGCGGGGCAGGGCACCACAGGGGACAGTTTCCTGGGCTTGAGCAGGCCATCCCCACTGCATTGCTGTGGCCGCCCCCCAGGTCCGTCCCTAGCTATTCTGGGGCCCTATGCAGCCCCCCCGCGGGTGGGGGGCGGAATCGGGGGGGGGGCCCATGCCTCCGTGGGGGTGGGCTGGCTTGGGGGGCAGGGGGGAACCACCCCTCAGCACTCACTGGCGGCACAGCTGGGGCCAGGTCCCTGCACTTCCCGCCGCTGGTGAGTGCAGGCCCGGCCCTGCTGCAGTCCTCAGGGGCGGGAAGGGGCGGAGCAGGGGTGGGAAGAGGTGGGTCTGGGGCGGGGGGCCTGGGGAAGAGCCGGGAAGGGGCTGGAGCAGCACGCAGCTGTGCAGGGCACCTGGAAATTTGGTGCCCCAAGTTTCCTGATGCCCTACGCAGCTGCGTACTTTGCCTATGGGTAAGGACGGCCCTACGCCCTCCAGCCTGGCACTCACCTTGCACTCGGACTCCGCATGCTTGCGCTTGGTCTCACTCAGCTGCGTCTGCAGCCCTTTGTTCTGGGCAGTGAGGTATTGCAGCTTCTCCTGCAGCCCTAGGCACTCCTGCTCCGTCCGGTTCAGCAGATTACTGTGAATCTGATCCTGGGGTGCCGGGGGGAGACAGACAGGGAATAGAGCTCAGGGGACAGGCCATTCCACCATGCCCACTCGCAGCACACATGGGGTTCCAGCCCTACGGCTTCCACGGCTAGGTGCGTGCACCCCCAATGTGTGTGTGCGTGTGTGTAAACGCCCAATGCACCCCCTCATCCCCAACTGCACCCCCCACTCCCACCCTGCAAACACCCACATCCTCTAACTGCACCCCCACAGAATACACACCCATGCTCCATAACTGATCTCCATGCACATGCAATACACACCCACTCCTCACAACTGCGTCCCCCCACTGTATAGCAGCACCCGCCACTCAATACGCCCCACAACTACACCTCTACTGCATCCTCATTCCCACCCCCACTCCCCTAGCCTCCCAAATACCCACCACACCCACACTCCCAGCCTGCAAACATCCACCCCAACTGCACCCCTACACAATGCACACCCACGCTCCATGCACACACAATACACATCCACATCCCCTGCAGACACCTCCAACACCAACTGCACTCCCATCCCCATAAGTACGACCATACTGAGTCAGCCCAATGGTCCATCTAGCCCAGTGGCCTGTCTGCCAGCAGTGACTGGTGCCAGATGCTTCACGGGGAAGGAACAGAACAGGGCAATTAGCAAGTGATCCATCATTGTCCAGCCCCGGCTTCTGACAGTCACCCAGTGCACCCACTCCAAACAGCCACCCCCTAGTGCACCCCCCAGTACGGCCACACTCCAGGATTGCAATCCATGTGCACACAACAACCCTCAATATACACCACACACACACACTCGCCAACACACTACACATGCCCATATACTCCAACACGCTGCTCATGCCCTGCAAAATTCACCCCCCCCAACACACTGTACGCGCCCCGCACACATCCACACCCCCAACACACTGTACACACCTCCCAATCCAAACACACTGTATGCACCTCCCAAGCCAAACACACTGTACATACGCACATACCCACCCACTTCCCAACACACTGTGCACGCCCTGCACACAACCACACTGTACATGCCCCCACCCCAATACACTGTACACGCCCCGCACTCCCCCAACACAAGATACACATTCCCCTCCAATACACAGTACATGCCCCACCGCCTCCCTACGCACCGCCCACACCCCCCTCCATACGCACCACCCATGCCCCACCCACATCCCCCTGCCTACACAGTGCCCACATCCCCCCTCCCTATGCACTGCCCACATCCTCATCCCTACGTCCCGCCTACGCACTGCCCACATAACCCTTCCCTATGCCCCGCCCAGGCCCCGCCTAAATCCCCCTCCCTATGCCCCATCCACATCCCCTCCCTACATCCCTCCCACATCCCCTTTACTCCGCCCATGCCCCACCCACATCCCCCTCCCTCTGCCTCACCCACATCTCCCTCTGTACGCACTGCCCATGCCCCCCACATCCCCCTCCCTACACACCACCCACACACCCTTCCCACATCCCCCTCTCTATACACAGCACATGCCCCACACACATCCCACCTTCAATTGCAGCCCCCCTTATTCATCCACAACACCCCCGCCTCCTTACTTGCATGCTTCCCCCCACACCCATTACCCACACAACTACACTCCAACCCCACCCCTCTCCCCACTGTTCCCTGCTGTCAGGGGTCCTCGCCCGGGGGTATGTCGGGATTGTGTGGCCATCTCCCATGGGAACGCTCCAGACCCAGCTGGCTCGTCGCCCTGCCAACTGCCTCACCTGGGTTTCAAGCTCCACCAGCCTCTGCCGCAGCTCACGGAGGTCGGCCTGGGCCTGGGCCTCCCGCAGGCGGATGGTCATCAGCTCATCCTGGAGGTCATTCATGGTGTTCTTGCGGGGGGACTCCTTCCAGCGCCCGCCTGTCCGCGACAGATGAGCCTAGGGGAGTGGAGGGGTGCACAGGGTGAATGTGCCCCCCCATGTCAGGATTCACACACCAACCTGCGGAGCTCCCTGCTTCTCGCCTGCATGGGCCTCTCCAACCAGGGTCCCACAGCGCTTCCCAAGCCTTGTTCAGCCCCACTGCACTCCCATGAGGTCAGGTCCTGATCGCTGCACTGCCAGTCCCAAAGCCATAGAGGCGTGCAGCCAGATGGACGGGGTTGACACTGGGGTCTAGGACCTAATCAATATGGCTTTGCTGCTTAAGTGTGAATTGACCTGAGGCTTATAGGAAAAGGTTTTGGGGTGTGCAAAAGACCGAGGGTGTGACCTAAATGAAAGCCAGCATCTGGATGGGAGAATATCTCCACAAATGGGGTAAGGGTGCAGGGCTCACCATGCTGGTTGGGTTGGAAAAACTTTATGAGATCTGTCCCTATGAGCTTAAAATGTGGTCAGTGGACAGAAAGCCTGAAGATCTGTGGTGTGCAGGCTGGCTGGCAGATGAGTTTGTGGGCAGCAGGGCTGGGTATGAAGAGACCCAAAAGGGACTGGCCTAAGCATGGGTCCTGGGAAAGGAAATGGTTATCAGGTCCCGCACCCCAGCCTTCTTTTCTCAAGATTAAACATGCCCAGTTTTTCAACCTTTCCTCACAGGTGAGGTTTTCTAAACCTTTGATTATTTGTTGGTCTCCCTGAAATCTCTCCAATTTGTCCACACCTTTCTTGAAATGTGATGCCCCAAACTGGGACACGGGACTCCAGCTGAGGCCTCACAGGTGCTGAGCAGAAGGGGCCAATTACCTCCCAAGTCTTATATACAACTCTGCTGTTAGTACACCCCAGAATGATGAGAGCTGTTTTCATAACTGCATCACATTAGACTCAGAGTAGACTCATAGACTTTAAGGCCAGAAGGGACCATCATGATCATCTAGTCTGACCTCCTGCATAGGCACCGACTCCGTAGGTGCTCCGGGGCTGGAGCACCCACGGAAAAAAATTAGCGGGTGCTTAGCACCCACCCGGAAGATCAGCTGTTGGCAACTGCCAATCAGCTATTTAGCATGCGCAGCAGCCCCCATCAGGTCTTTGGCTGGCTGCGGCCAATCGGCTGTTTGGCACGAAGTCCCAGCCTATCAGCTGTTTCACCTGTGGCTGCTAAAGCTCCCAGCGGGCTCCCACCTCCCACTGCAGGCAGGTGTGAGTCCTTTTAATTTTCAGGGCAGAGGGAGCTGGGCTAGGGGGAGAAGCAGCCAGGGCACAGCAGCTTCTAGGCAAGCTGTGGAGGGGTGGGCAGCTTCTTGGCAGGGAGCTAGGGGGAGATGGGCGGGCAGCTTCTCGGCTGGCCACAGGGGGCTGCTGGGGCGAGTACAGGCTGGGGTTTTTTTTGAGGACTGAGCCAGCCATTCTCATACCACCCTGGTGTCTCGCCCAGGACCTGTGCCCCCCTCCAGCCAGGAGAAACCAGCTGTGGACCCCCTTAGTACTGGGCAGGGGGACAAACCAAAGGACATGGCTCCTTTAAGAAAAGTTTGCCCTTGTGTCTGATGAGCGAATTTGGGCTGGCGCCAGCAGCTTGCCCCCTCCCTGTGCCAAAGGTGAGAGGGGCTCTTCACTGCAGCCCCAGGTGCAAATGAGCAGCCTCCCACAGCCCGGACCCTGCCTGTGCCCCGACCCCTCCCATGCGGGCTCTGAGAGTTCCCAAACCCTACGGTTCTGACACAGGTCCCGGGACTCCGCATCCCTTCCCCAGTGTGTGGAGGGACAGGAGGGGCAATACACCACCAGTACGTCTAGCCCCATCCTCCCCACGGGCTCTTCTCCATGGCCGGCTCTCATGCCTGGGAAAGTAACGCTTGCCCAGCTCAAAGCTGTCTCCCCTCCCAGCCCAGATCAAGCCTGCTTGAGGGGCTTTTCCTCCCAGAGAGGAAGTTTATCCCCCTCCCCTCCAGATCAGTGTCTCCCCGCATCAGGAAGGATGGATTTCCTTCCCCTGGAGCCACACCCCCCGCCTCCAGCTCCCAGGGAATTCCTTCCATTGCATCCATCCCCCTGTATCAGCTTCAAGTCGGGAGACGCTGCCTTGCTTCAGCTTGGGACACCTGAGCTCCTCTTGCTTCAGGGTGCTGGGCTGCTGCAGCCCGAAGGAGGAAGCAACCCCACCCCCGCCTTTGGCCATGGTCCCACCAGTGGCTCCCCGCCCACAAAAGTTGCAAAGTGTGTGAGGGAGTCAGGAGCGAGCTGCAGCCCTGGGGACTGGGAGGAGCTGGAGCGACACAGCAGCCACATAGCAGGATGGATGAATGAGCCATGTCTATGCTGGGCTGTTGAATTAAATTTCTCTCTCGGTCTCAGGGTGGGCAGTTTCTGGGCTGGCCGCAGGGGGTGGGGTTGGGGGGGAGACAGAGCTGCTCTGAGTGCCTGGGAGGGAGTAGGCGCTAAACAGAGCCACCTGGAGGTGGGGAGCAGAGAGAGCGAGCGAGCGAGCTGGGAAAAGGGACACAGGTGGAGAGCAAGAAGTGGGAAACATCAGGAAGGGGAGATACCAATGATAGACACACATTCAATAACTAGAATGAAAGTGTTTAAATATGCTGAAAATAGCCTCCCCCCAAAACTGGCAGAGCACCCACCCCTCAAGCCCATACAACTCACCCTTAAGGCAGCAGGAGGCAGAAAGGAGTGAGTGGCAGGTGGGAGGCATTTAGGGGCGGGGGTTGGCAGGCAGGAGGCGTTCAGGGCGGTGTAGCGGGATGGGGCAGAGCGGGAGCAGGAAGAGGTGGAGTGGGGGCGGAGCCTTGGGGAAGGGGGCGGAGCCAGGACGGGGCACCCACTGGCACAACTAAAAGTCAGCACCTATGATCTCCTGTATATTGCAGGCCACAGAACCTCACCCGTCCACTCCCGGAATAGACCCCGAACCTCTGGCTGAGTCACTGAGGTCCTCAAAGTCATTGCTGGCTCACATTCAGTTTGTGATCCACTAGAACCCCAGGACTGTTTCAGCAGTACCACCACCTAGCCAGGTATTTTGTACCTTGTATTTATGTATTTGATTTTTCCTTCCCAGTTTGACAGTGAACTTTTGATAACTACTCTGAGTTACAGTCTTTCAACCACTTGTGCATCCACCTTATAGCAATTTCATCTAGACCACATTTCCTTAGGCATAAGAATGCCTTGTGAGATTGTCAAAAGCCTTACTAAAATCAAGATATTTCTGTGACGTTACACCCCATATTCTTCATAGAAATATGGTTATGATACGAATACGGCATGACTAAGATATACTTTATGCAAGATGGCTCATGTGAGGTATCATTGGAAAGATTATGATCTACTGAATGTGATTATCCAATTTGTATGCACGTATCATTTCTGTATCTGAAGTTAGGAATATTGACTATGTAACAATTACAACTACGCGTGTACTTGGGGGAATGCCTGCCAGACAGTAGGCAATCTTCAGCGCAAGATAGTATTATTTTGGGTTTATTCCCCCAAAAGGGGCATGCACGTGAGTGGTGGGTGAATCCTCTCACACAGAGCTGACTTCAGTCGGCATGTGTGTGTGTGCATGCGCACACGCGCGCTGCAAGAGGCCGGATAGCCTCATTCAGCAAAACAAGGAGAGGAAATCCAGGCTGGTGGAGCAGGAGGGGCTCAGTAAGACCCCAGTACATCAGGTGACATCCCAAAGGGGGGGTCTAACCCATCACAATATCATGTCTACAGCTTTCCTGCATCTACTAGGCCAGTAACCTTGTCAAAGAAGGAAATTAGGTTGGTTTGGCACCATTGGTTGGTTATTACTTATTACCCTATTATCCTTTAGGTGCTAACAAATTAATAGTTTATTCCAGTATCTTTCCAGGTTCCCAAAGTTACAGTGTTCTATCATTCCCTGGGTCCTCTGTGTTCCCCTTTTAAAGATAGGTACTGTGTTAGCCCTTCTCCTGTCCTCTGAGACCTCCCCTGTCCTCCATGAGTTCTCAAAGATAATCGCTAATTAGATGTATCTCTGGAGGGGGGTTGTCTCTGCCCATGTGCTGGGGTCGGGGATGGGTAGCTGGCCCGGTGGTGAGTGGAGCCGACGGGGAAGGGGGCTTTACCTGCCAGCTGTCGTTGAGATCCTTCACCTGCAGCTGTAGCTCCTTGAGTGAGGTCAGCGCTGCCACCTCGCGTACCTTCAATGCCTTGAGCTCCTCCTGCAAACGGGCCACGTTGTTCTCGTCGGGCAGCGAGCTGTTCTTCTGCAGGGAGGTGGGGGCAGAGGGAGTCAGACTGGGACCTCAGCAGCACAGGCTTCTCTGCTCTGACCACTGCACTGTGCTGCCCACCTTTCCACATCCAGGCTCTGTGGGCACGGGCAGGGAACGAGCTCCACAGCCCCACACTCAGATAATCTGGGGCTAGGGTTGGAGCCTTTGGAAGGGGTGCAGAGTGACATGCTACTCTGGGTGACCCCCAGCTAGCTCCTGGAAGCAGCTCCCTGAGACCCCAAGGCCACCCTCACCCCCTGATATTCAGCAGTTCAGCAGGCCCCACTCCCACCCCGGCTGTTAGCAGAGGGCAAAGAAGGAATCCCAGGTGGCTCCAAGCTTCCTACTGGTGGGATCTCCCGACACAAAGGGACAGTAGCATGGCCTAATGGGCAGCTCTAGCCCTGGCATGGTGGGGACACAACCTGGTCCCATCTAGAGATAGCCATGTTTGGACCTGACCCTGCTGGAAGCGCAGTCCCCAACACGGTGGCTGTTCTAGAGAAGCCAGAGCACTGGCTTACAGGTCAGGAGATGGGACAGGCTCTGGCTCACTCCCCTGGAGATGTTGTCTCCTGGGATTTGTCCGGAGCAGCACAAAGTGGGGAGATCAGAGCAGGGGCGGAGACCTGGGGTCTGGCTCTCTGCTCACAATGGTGGAATTCCACTGGAGTCCGTACAGCCCCACTGCTGTAAAGGGACAAGCCAGCCTGGGTAGCAAGAAGGGGCTCACGTTTACACCCACTTCTTGACTAGAACAACTGCAGCAGGGCCGAGCACGCTCTGCAAACCCCCAGCTATAGAAGAAAAAAGGCACAGCCCAAGCAGCGCCCCTCTGAACTCTCATCAGCCCTTGGGCACTATTGGAAAGGGTGGCCAACCGAGTGGCTTTTCTATAACACGCTAGGGAGCAGTGAGCTGAGTCTACACTGTGGTTTCAGCCCTGCAGAAGCTGCACCAGTGCGGATCACAAGGGCAGACCTGGTTTGAACTGGTGCAGCTGATCTTGGTTTTACACAAGGGTGAGCTGTGCTGGTGGAAACAATCTTTATGCTGGGTTTGAACCCGTGGCTGAAATCCCAGGGGCAGATCCCTGGCTGGTATAAATCAGCGCTGCTCCATGGGAGTCAATAGAGCTGCACCTATTTACAGCGGCGGAGCTCTGGCTGCCAGTGCAGACAAAGCCAGGAGCTCTGTGACTGCTGAGTGATTCACACACACAGCACAGGCAGGGGGAGGCTTCCAGTGGGTTTCAGACACTGCCCCCACGCTCAGCAGGAAAGCAATCAGATGAGGTGTTATCACACCTCTGCTGGAGCAGAAATCACATGCTGGCAGCTGCCGGGGAAGCGCGAGGGGGGGAGTCAGGGTAACGTTTGGTGATTGCGAGTTCATCTCTTCTGAACTAGTGCTGGGGGGCCAGGGGTCCTGCACCCACCATGAACCCTGGGGTTCATATCACATTAGAAGACAATCACAGTCATCCCCTTCATCTGCCTGGGCTCAATACTCCTAGCAGCTCCATGGCTCATAGTAATCTCTTCTCATGCCACTAATCATAACCACCTCAAGTGTCACTAGGTTCCCCCCTTGTCCCTCTCTATCTCTCTATCTACCTGCCATCCCTCATCTTATACTTAGACGGCAAACTCCTAGGAGCAGGGACAGGTGGTGTTATTTATTTGGTGTATCACGGTAGCACCTAGGAGCTGCAGTCATGGAGCAGGACCCCATTGTGCTAGGTGCTGTACATCTTAGTCTTGTGTGTGCACAGCGCATGACACAATGGGGCCCTGGTCACCGATTGCAGCCTGTAGGTCAAACCGTAATATCAATCAACAGTGAGAAAACACCACCCTGCCACCAACTGTGTGCAAAGCGGTCTGTCCTGAGCAGAAGCAGCTGCTCCTCTTTCTCCCTCTGCTTCATGGGACTATTGGGAGAGAGGACAGATCTGTGTGTGTAATGGGAGGGGGGGAAGTGGTGACCCCACTTAAAATGGAGCAATCACACATCTGTCTGGTAAGACTGCAACATCTGTTAGTCAAATAAACCCTGGGCGCTTCTTGTTCCTAGGACAAATGGGGACCCAGCAGTAGTGTCACACATAAACACATGGGGCTACGCCGTGGTCCGGTTCTTTCCTCACCCCACGCCTCAGGCGTTTTCACACTGATGTGTTGGGTGGAGGGTGAGGCCTTGAGTCATTCTTTGAGCTCTCAAGCCCCCATGGGCTTTCTCACATGCTGCTCCAGTGTGGTCGCAGCAGTGCAAGCTGCAGCAGGAAGGGCTGGTTCGGGGCCTGTCGGGGTGTTAAAAGGGTGGGAGGACTTGATTCTCACAGCTCTGATCAGCTAATATGAGGCTCTCCAGCATCAGCTCAGCCTGAACTAGAGAAGTTAGAGGTTAGATTTAAGGTACAGAAATTCAGATCTGGACAGACCACCCCCAAAAGTGGAGGGCTGGGGATCTGGCATTCGGGTCAGCCTGCTATAAGGACAGGGATCCTTTGCAGCATTTAGATCCAGGTCTGTCATCAGACTTCAAGCACCCCTAATGTCTGGAGGACTTATAATAGGGGGGGTTTATTTGGGCCCAGTCTCTGGCTAGATCACAGCAAGGCTGCAAGGCAGAGAGGAAGGATGGTCCTACGATTAAGGCGCTAGACTGAGATTTAGTAGATTTCAAACTTTGGGGCAGGGACTGTCTTTTTGTCCTGTGTTTGTACAGCACCTGGCACAAGGAGGTCCTGGGCCATGACAGGTGCTACTGTACTATACCTAATAAATAATAATAATAATAGAAACTCCAATTCCCAGCTTTCCCTGGGTGACCTCAGGCCAATTGGGATGATGATCCTTCCCTGCCGTGCTGGGAGGATGAATTCAATAGGTAACTGTGAGGTGCTCAGATTGGGGCCCTGAAGGTGCCTTGATGGATGGGTCTTGCTGCCCCTCTCCTGCTCCCATAGGATTGCTGCCCAAGCCTGAAACTGACCCGGCAGTAAATGCGTAGCCTTCCCATTGCCAGGCTTTGCAGACAGACCTGGTCTGGTTTTGCGAAGCACAAAAGTGCGCTGACGTGCAACTTACAACCATGCAGGAAGGAAATGGTTACAGGGCAAGGCCTTTTCTGGAAGGGGCGGGTTTATCTAGCTGCTTTTATTTTTAATCATGCTCTGATAACCATCTTCAGAGGTTTTCAAATCTAATCCCAGTTGCGACCGCAAAGGAAAAAATAAATCAAATGTACAATCACTTATTGCAGGATGGTCAAGGAAAAAGAAACATGGGCAGAAAATCTTGTCTGCATGACATCCTTATCTGGGTTCAGTGTCCATGGGGACACTGAATGGGTCCAGATGGATGCTGTGTAGGGTAGGGAGCCTTCTTAATATGACCCCCAAACAGTCAAGGAGGGTGTGTGTGTGATACAACCCTGTTCTCAGCAGAGGATTCAGGCTGAGCAAAAACAGCCACCAGTTACTAATTTATAGCAGCATCCAGAAGCCTTGATTGAGTTCAGGGATCCCACTGAAACAGAGAGGGGAAATGACTTGCCCAAGGCCAGACAGCAAGTCAGTGGCAGAGCTGCGAAAAAGATCAAAGGTCTCCTGACTCCTCCTATGCATGGCCCACACTGCCTCTCTCTGCTAGTGACATGGATTCAACAGAAGATGTACTAAAGATACTGCAGCCTGAGTGAGGCAAATAAAGTAAGAGTCACAAAAAGCAGGCATAATCAGCCTTGTGCTGTGATCAGGTCACACCTCAAAAGTCAGGCAGCATCAGCCCAACTTTGCACTTGGATGGGAAACCACCAAGGAACATCCGGGGGCACTGTGCCAATGGAAGCACTGCCTTTCAGAAGGCTGGGAGCTACACAGAGCCCAGGTGAGATCAGAGCCCCATTGTGCCAGAGGCTGCACAGGTCATGATTGGGATTCTTCTTCACTTCCTGTCCTAAATTCTCCCTTAGTGTTGCTTGGTGCCATTGAACAAATGCTCCACCCTCAAAAGGTGACTGCATTTCAATGGGGTAGGTGTGATCTCTGCACACGAAGTTAAGTGCTGTGGGGTCCTTCAGGCTGAAAGGCACTCGGGCAGTGGTTCTCAAACTGTGGGTCAGGATTCCAAAGTGGGTCTTCATGGGGTCACCAGGGCTGGCGTCAGAATTGCTTCAGCCCTGGGCGGCGAGGCTCAGGTTACAGGCCCCCCGCCCGGAGTTGAAGCCCTTTGGCTTCGCCCCCGGAGTGGTGGGGCTTGGCCGGGCTCAGACTTCGGTCCCCCCTCCTAGAGTCGTGTAGTAATTTTTGTTGTCAGAAGGGGGTCGCAGTGCAATGAAGCTTGAGAACCCCCGCACTCTGGGAACACAGCTTATCTTCAACTCCCCATGCAAGTGCTTGAAGCCCCCCCCACTTTAATCACTATGATACGCACAGTAGCTGCTGTCAATTTGATTCAGGCCCCACTAAAAGGAAGGCTGAGTCTAGGTCAGGACTTCCTTTGCTTAGGATTGTGAAGTACAATTAAACATCAGGCATGCACTTCACCAGCCTAAATCCACATGGCACAGATCAGTAGCACCACAGTGAATATCTCAGGCCAGATCCCCAAATGGCATCAGCTGGCATATCTCCACTGAAGTCAATGGCACTATGCTGATTTACACCAGCTGAGCATCTGATCCCTTATGCCTTTCATCCTGAAAGACCCCGATGCACTCTGCAAACTACACAGGGTCACTTAACTCCCCACTGAAATACACCCACTTCTCGGGGGACACAGCAGCTGTTTAACTACAGATCAGATGAGGATGGAAAATCCCACATCCAGCTGAAACTACAGGGAGGAGAGGGTCTACGTAGGCAGAACCCTTCTATGGTACTGGACCAGGCGGGCTGGGCTAACAGCTCCACTTTTATGGAAAGCATCACGGGATCTTTAATGACCCTGAAGCCATCAAAGGCCTTGGTTTTACAGCCCATGCTATAAAAGTAACAGACCCACAGCAAGTTGTAGGGGCACAGGCTGCTCCCCCCATGACTCCCATTGCATATTTAAACGATGCTGGAGCAGGGATTTCTCCCTCCCCACACACACCTTTTCCATGTCCAGCACTTTGTCCTGCATCTCCTTGAGCGCGCCCAATGTCTCCATCTCCCTCAGACGCGACTGCTCCAGCTCTGTTTCCAGGTGATTCACAAACTCCTCCGTGAACCGGGGGTTTCCCTGTTAGGAAGCAAAAAAACCCAAACCAGGCATTGTTAACCAGGGAGGGGATCTTTAGCATTGAAACCACAGGCCTCTACCAAGTGAGGAACTCCTCTAGCGAGAGCAAGGCTGTTTTCGTTGAAGGGGCCAGCCTCTAGGGGGAGACATGCTCAAGCGCACATAGGCAATTTTTACCCACAAGTGCACCCCCATATTCAGTGCAGGACAATGAGAGAGGCTGCTGGAAGGAACTTCCCTTGCAGCCCTGCAGGGCAGGGCTGAGGAGCATTGATGGGTGGGGGGAAAGGAGGGCAGATTGCAGGATTACAGACACAGATCTGCACTTTGGGGGCCCAGCGCAATGTTAAGCTGCACCCATGATCAGACAGCTCTGCTCACCTTCCCTGCCACTCTTGGAGACACCCCTGACTCGCTGCCCAGGTCTGGAGTCTCTCTTCCTATAGACGTGCCCTCTGAAGTGACTACGGTGCCCATCACTGCAATGCAGCAGCTCTGGGGTGGTATGTGGCACTGGGTAACAGATGTACAGCAGTGCTACAGCTGAAGGTTGTAAGAGGTGAATGAAGCATTAGTCTGGCTGGGCACCAGAGTTAACGCTCCCACTTTTGCAGAAAGGGCCAGAGGATCTTTAATGTCCATAAGCCTTCAAGGCCTTGGTCTTGTGTCTCATCCAAGAATCACAGTGAAAGCCAGCACGGTGCCCCCTAGCAGCATGCTCCGAGATTTCTCCTTAAGGCTTCACATTGGACCAAACTGTCCTGGACTCAGCTTCTGGGGGCCCATTAACATGACACCTGGGCAGCTGGGACGGAGGTGATTCCTAAGAGCCAGCTGGCTGCTGCCTTGTCAGTCCTTGCTGACCTGTGGGGCAAATGGACCCAACTCCCATCACTGTACTGTGCACTGCCTGATGGGGTTGGACACCTAGCACCTAATGTGGTGGCTGCTCTGGATCTTGTTCTGAACCTTTTCTCCAGTGGCCACAGTTCTGGCGGGGACTAGGCACGCTCCAAGGAGGAGGCAGGCCATGAGGCCACTTATGCGACACCCTGGGGCCCCTAAAAGGGTAGCTGGGCGGGGATACCGTTGCTGGAGGCTGTAGGCTCTCCTGTAGCGGGATCCAGCTGGCTCTTCAATCTCACCCCCCACCCCACCCAATCTGAGCAGAGTGCTACTCTCCAGAGCACGCCTCAACCACAGCAACCTCCGCTGGGGGAAAGGCCGGGGGAGCGCTGGCACAGCTCCTACCCACTGTAACCGTCTGTGCTATTGCAGCTGTTGGCAGTTCATCAGATAAACACCAGCTTGTTTTCTGGGGGAGAATTAAACACGATCCAATCCAGCCCATGGGGGGAGGGGTGGAGACCCCTCCTTGCAACCAGATGCAACCTCGAACTCAACACCCTTTGAATTTTGGAGCGCTTTGGATTGGAGGCCTCACATTCAAAACCACCCCTCTGTAGCTGTAGCTGTGGTTTTAGGTTGGATCCAAAACCAAAAGGGGCCTAATTTCCGGTTCTGCTTTGGTTGGGACAGGAGACTTGCGCCAGCAGGGTGTGAGATCTCAGCACCCTTGAATCAGAGTTTTAGGGGCCAGATCCCTGGCTAGTGCAAATCGCCATCGCTGCATTGGAGTCAATGGGGCCGAATCCCCGGCCGGTGTATAAACCAGCATCGCTCCATTGGAGTCAATAGGGCCAGATCCCTGGCTGATGGGATGCTGCATCAGAGTCAGTGGCAATTTATATCAGCTGAGGTCTAGCCCTGGCCCTCATTTGGCCTCAAACCTTAACCCAGATCCAAGCCAACCCTACCCAGCACCAAGCTTGAGTGGCAGAACCGTCATCTCCCATCAGTGAAGCAAGAGCCCTTCCCAACCAGTTCCCCCCCCATGCTGAGTGAATGCAGCTGCAATGAGAGCACCCTACAGGAGAGGAATATGCTGCTGGGGTGGGGGAGGGAACCATCCTTGCCAAGGGGAGCATGATATGGGGACCTTGGTCCCTGCCCTGGCCTCTATGGGTGGATGGACTAGATGGGCCCTAGGAGGGCTTGTCTGTGATCACCCTGCATATTGCCAGCCAGTGGGAGGGGAGGTTACAGAGTCTGATACCACAGCTGGTTTAAACGCAGGCTGGAGAGTTTTGCGGCCGTTGCCATGTGAACGGAGATGATGGGGTTTATCAGATCTTGTGCTGGGGACACACACTGATTGCCGGTATGGGCTCAGGAAGGAATCTCCCACCACCACGCATCTGCAGCACTGTGGAATTGACCAGGTGCATTAAGGAGGAAGGAGGCAGGAGGCATGGGGGGTGAGAAGGTTCCGCTTTCTACGAAGCTGTGGTTCTCCAGTTCTTTCAGTCTCCGGAGACCCAGCTCCCCACTTCCAATTCCTCTCATCAGCCACCACCTGGATCTCAAAAGAACTGCCAGGAAGGGCTGTCACCACTGATGGTCCAAAGGAGAGGCTGCTCTGATGCCTCGTGTAGTGGCCTCTGCCACAGTAGATGGGCCAATGTTCTGAGCAAAGCCCTGTCTTCTCAGAAGCTGAACTCAGAACCAATCTAGCTGTGAATTCCCCTAGGATTGGCGAATTAAAGATGGGTCACAGCTTCTCATCCTCCCCTCAGCTAGTGTAGGGTTCTTCCCCTGGATGGTCTGGTGCTTTGCTTAGCAGCCTGAGATGTCCTTGGAGCTGCCCAAGAGAGAAGAGCTCTCTGACGCACAAGGGTCAGGTGGGAGGGGACTCCCTCATTTCACTCAGCCCATTTGCAACAGACTTCTCATATGGGACAGTCCATGTGAACTGGCACCTTTGGTTTGTGCCCAGAGGCTAACAGTTATCCCTCTCCAGCTATCAGTTCCCTACCCTGGGGTCTATGGCTTCCATCAGACTTCTCCTCTGTAGGGTTGTACCTCTGGAATGAGTCAGTTGCACATGGAATGGAAGAGACATTTCTAGTGTAACATTGTGCTTCAACACACTCCGCATTTAACAGCAACACTCTACCTGTCTCCCATTCGAACATCCCAACATGTTTTACAGACGTTAAGTAACTTAGTATTACAATGCCCCTGTTGTGTAGAGAACTGTTATCCTCATTTGCAACTGTGGAAACTGAGGCAGAGAGAGGTCACATAGTCAGTGGCAAAACCAGGAATAGAACCCAAGAGTCCTACCTCCCAGACCCTAGTTCCCACTCCCCACGCAGACCCAGGAGTCCTGATTCCCAGTCCCGTGCTCTAACCAGAAGACCAGCCCTTCCTTCCCACAAAGAACCCATTTTGGATGAACCAGAAGAGCTCATGAAGCAGACAAACCTCTAGGTTCTTTTTTTCTGCCGTAGGCAGGTCTGCTTTCTAGGCACTATCGTTCTCCCTGTAACCACACAGCCCTGCGTTCTCTCCTGGAGAGCTTTCACCTGGGGCTCTTTCCGAAGAAGAGCCGCTGAGCATTGTTTTAAGCACTGTTTGTTTGCTCTCTCCATTTGGTGAGAGCTCTGCATTTTTTGATGGGGTAAAATATCAGAGACTTCAGTTGCACAAAGAAGGGGGGGGATTCAAAGCCCTCCCCCCACCCAAGAAAAAACAACCTACTGCTTGGCCGTTTTTCCCACTTGCAAGGACACCTGTGAGATTCAGAAGAAGCCCTCCCTGATCAAAAAGCTTCTGTCAAAGACAGGCAACAGGTGGCAAAGAGATTGGGCTCTCAACAATGTGCACATGGTAACCTTTACATGGGAGTCTGTGTGTGTGAGTGAGACCATCACAGCCACCAAGCGCCCCTCCCACACACACTTAGCTTTTGCTTTGCTTTTGCTTTCATCTCCGTAACCTCCACTTAGTGGTTCAGCCCTGACTTCGCAGCAGCTCTAATGCCCGCAGCTGTCAACAGTACACGTCCCAAATTATTGTAGCAGCAATTAGAAAGCTCAATTGAGATCAGGGCCCCATTGCTGCACAGAGACAGTCCATGCCCCAAAGAGATCATAGTCTGAACAGACAAAGGAAGGAAGCATTGTTATCCATCTTTTACAGGTGGGGAACTAGGGCCCAGAGACATGCAGGACTTGTCCAAGCTCACACAGCGAGTCAGTGGCAAAGCTGAGAATGGAACCTAGATCTGAGTCCCAGCCCAGGGCCTTAACCACAAGGCCGTCCTGTGTCATTCCTCTCTAGTTATTTTCACAGTACGGATATTAACTGTGTTATAGCAAGCTCATTTCCAGAGAGGGGGCTCCCTGCTGAAGGGCACACTCCAGCTGTTTGTTAGGGCAAGATTTGAATTTCGGCTCTGGACTGGATTCAGCGTAACACCAAAGCAACCTTTGCTACATCACTCATCTCCAGGACCACTGCTGAAATCCACAAGCTCACCTCCACTGCTTCTCGCAAGAAGGGGAGTTTGACTATAGACAACAGTGACCAAAGTGGAACCAGCAGAGGCACCAACAATGATTTAAAAAAAAAATAAAAATAAAAACCAACTGATTTTTCAAAACATACACTGGATTTTTTAAAATTTAAAGTACACATTTTTCCTTTTAAAAAATGAACCTATTTAAAATTAAAATTTGAAGTTATGGCAATATATGTTAAGGCCTAAACTGACTGTAATCTATTAAAATAGTTTAAATTAAATAAAACATTTAATCCTAAGCAATACAAGTTTGCTGCTAAAGTTTTAAAGAAAGTCAAACCACTGAACTGGTGGAAAACACTGGGCTCAGCACCTGCAACCAGAGTTTGTTGAAGTGCTAAATGAGTTTTTGACTGCAGTAGCTTCTTCTACAGGTGCAAAGAGAATATTTTCTTGATTTCAGTTTATTCAACTAGTTTAGTTCAATGACTAGTTCACTGAAAGTTAAGAAACCAAATGGGAGTTGAAAAAGGAGGAAAACTTGTTTACCTTTTTCAAACTACGAATAAAAACTAGATGTTAGAGGATGAGATCTACTAGTTCTAAAATCTCGACGAGACAAGGTGGGTGAGGTAATATCTTTTATTGGACCAACTACTGTTGGTGAGAGACAAGCTTTACATACACTGCATATTAAAATCTTGAAGGACATGTTTACCAGAAGCAGTTAGTTCAACTCATTATCAGATAATACTTTCTTTGTTCCATAAATCAGTTAGTTTTAAATGCAAAATGTGTTTTAACTTATTTTTCTTATGTATCCATCATATTTAAGGTAGTTTTATTTAACTAATTTTTTTAAAAAGCGTTTTTTTTTGCACATTTTTAATTAACTCCAATTTCCATCCAAATAGAGTTTGACAAAATTCACAAATAAAAAAATTAATCATGTAGTAAATAAATGCATCATTTACCATTTTATAACATTATAAAAAAGTAAACATTAGACTCTGAATAAATGAATGTTAAGCTCTATAACTGTGTAAATAAATGTGTATAAATATAGTGTATCCTGCTGGTTAGCAAAAAGAAGTTCCAAGTTTAGTGTAAAGCTTATAGTTTGGTGCAAATCAACATGTTTTAATGGTTACCAACCCATGAGAATCAATGCCTCTTTAGAACAATAACTAAAAAGTGCAAACCCAAAACAAGATTAAAATAAATTATTTAAATCACTTTGATTTAAATCAATCCACCATAAGCCCTGTCCAGAGACCAAAGATGGTCTTGTGGTTAAAGTGCTGGATTAGAACTCCGGAGATGTACGTTCAATTCCTAGCTCTACCAAAGGCTTCTGGGATACAGCTCTGTGCCTCAGTTTCCCCAGGTATAAAATGGGGCTATTAATCCTTCCTTTGCATCATTAGAATGTAAGTTCCAGGGCAGGGATTGTCTGTGCAGTGTCTGGCACTACAGGGCCCCAATTTTAGTTGGGGTCTCTGGGTGCTACTCTAATATAAATATTACATTCTCTTGCTGCAGCTAAATGGCAGCTCCCTGAACATCTGGGATGCAGGATCCCAAGATGGCATCATGTGGCTAAATCGTACCCAGCTAGATGTGCAGCTGCACTAGCATGGGCAGGCCCAGCTGCTATTTGCCCAAGGGTAAGCTGCACTGGTGCACATCAGGGCTTATAGCTGCTTTGCCCATCTAGTCCAGGGGTTCCAGTAAGCAGGGCAAATCCCCAAGCCTGCATTTTTAGTGCCACCTGGCGCCCTGTGTCATGGTCCCACCCTATGCCCCCTCAGCAGTGCCACCCTAGCCTGCTTCCTCACCTGTTGGTCCTGCAGCTGCCGGATGGTGCTCTGGGCCTTCTGCAGGTTCTCCGTGGCTGAGCTGCACTGCTGCTTCACCACCGCCAACTCTCGCTTGATGATGTAATTCTCTTCGGCCTCCTGTGCGCGGGTGACTTGGCCCTGGGGAGGGGGGAGGGGGTAAGAGGAGAGGGAAAGAGGATGTCAAAGGAAACACCTTCAACATGCTCCATGTGCATCTGCATGGGAATTCTCTCTCTGGGCCACATGCAGTGGCTGGGATCACAGCCCAGTGGGATCAGATTTACTGGGAAGAAGTGAATTCCCCAAGGGGCCGCCTATGCCTTAGACAGCTCTGTCAGCAGCTGCCCAACCTTCCGCTGCCAATGCTTCAGTGCCAGTTACCCCTTCTGTGTATAAGGTTACCACTTGCCAGTGTCTTGCAGCTAAAGTATACAGAGCTGGGAGTCAGGACTCCTGGGTTCCATTTCTAGCTCTGGAAGAAGAGTGTGATTGAGTGAGATCAGAGGGATGGGACTCAGGACACCTGGATTAGAGTCTCAGATCTTGGAAGGGAGTGCCGTCTAGTGGTGAGAGTGGGGGACCTCTGGGGTTCCACAACTGTGACCTTGGGACAAACGCTTGCCTGCTTTACAAGGAGGCATACAACATATTAACGCTCATCCCTTTTAGACCAGTTTTCATGCACAGGCCACACAGTGCTTTAGAATAGTGGGTAAATGGCATTATCCTTATTTTACAGCTGGGGAAACTGAGGCACGGAAAGGCAGGGGGGAAGTGACTTGCCTAAGCTCACATTAGTCAGTGGAAAGCCCAGGATTAGAATGTAGAGGGGACCTGACGCCTAGCACCCTGTCCTGTCCATTGGATCACGTCTCATTTATTCACTGATGTGTTTGGACAAAACACCCCCTCCAAAAAATCAGTTACTGATCAGACTGGCCTGCGAACATCCTGCTAGCAAGAGGATGAGTGCCGCCAGGACTCCTGGGTTCTACTCCCAGCACTGGGAGACAATGTCTTTACTGGTTAGAGGGGGGAACTTGATCCCGTGTTTTGTTTTTTGTGTTGGGGGGGGGGGGAGGGGGGCGCAGCATGGTGTAGTGCTTAGAGCAGAGGGGAGGGATTGGGAATCAGGGGCTCCTGGCTCTCCCACTGACCCTCTGTCACCAGATTGGAGGATCCTCTATCCCAGAGATCCTAAGAATGCACATCAGGCACTGGTGACTTCCTGATGGGTGAGAAATTGAAAGGCCCTAGAATACTGTATTGAGCAGAGGGACTGGTGCAAAACTTGCACAAAAGGTCATTTACTTTGTGTGTGTGTGCACATGTGCACATTGCCTCACCCAATGCAGATCATAAAGCCTGCGTATGCATGTGCATGGGGCCATTTACTCTGCGTGGTCATTTTTGGGTGTGTACAGCACCTAGCACCCTGCCAATGGGGGTCATTTACTCTGCATGTGGGTGGGTGCAGTGCCTAGCATAACAAGGCACCGATGTGATTGGGCTCCAGGTGCTATGACCATCTAAATGTTAAATTATCATCATGATGGTGCTGAGAGCTGGCAGTGCCCACGCCTCCGGTGGATGAGCTCAGTTTCCTCCCCCGAAGCCTCTGTTCTCAGCTCCACAGGGTTGCTTTAGCCCTGTCGTTCTGAGGGCAATCGGGTTGTCTAGTGTTCACCAGGGTACAGACACGGGGTCCCATCTACTTGGTGAAGAGAACCATGGCACTTTTCACCAAGAGTGGGCTCAGTGACAGTCTCTAGCCAAAATTTGCCCTCATTGCCCTAGCTACCTCTCTCCACCCCAGAGGAGGCTGCGTTTGCAGAGGAGCTGTATGCAGCTGGCATGAGAAATGCTTTGGAGTATAAAGTATTAGTACTAACGAGATGACAGCTAGGTTACACCTTATCACACCAGCTCAACAAACAATGCCAGCCTTCATGCCTCACGTCTCCTTCCACTCCCATCTCTGCATGCAGCAGACCCTCCAGCCTGGTTCACCTACCCACTGCCCCTTCTCCTGGTTCAAACCTCTCCTCACATGTGACATGGATGTGTGGGACATGCAGGAAGGGGTTAAACCTCTTCTCTGGGCACAATGGAGGAAGCTGGCCTTGAAAGCCTGCCAGGGTAAGGAGCTGGGAGCTGTGGCTTGCTAAGCTGATAGGAGATGGCACTGATAGCTGGGCCTCTGTGACATAATTGACATGAACTGGGACCATATAGATCATAGTTGCAACCAAAGTCCTGTCACCAAATCTTGTATAAAGGGGGTCAAATAGGGTGTCTAAAACAAGATTACGGTTTGCTGGTTTTGGTTATGCTATCTGTATATGTGTATCATTTTTGTAGTTGAAGTTATGAATATTGGCTCTATACTGTCTGTATTTCAAACTTCTGCTATGCCTCTGGGTAACACCCAGACAAGTTGGTGTCAGCTCTGCCTAGCCTGCTTGATGACCCATTAAGGACCATCAGCCATACAACTGACCCACTGAGAGAAGGCAGATATGCCTTGTGACTCAGAAAAGTATGCAGGGACTTGCCCATGTGACTCCAAACTCCATTTTGCTGTATTTTTTCACAGCAAGAACAAAGAGGTATTCTTACACCTGGAAAAGACTATAAAAGGCTGATGCCTCATCTCCATCTGGTCTTCAATCCTGCTTCTTACCTCTGGAGGGACTTTGCTACATATGGAAGCTCTACACAAAGGACTGATGACCCATCCCAGCTGTGGATGTACTCCAGAGACTTGATTTGAACCTGCAGTTTATTCTATCACTCCTACAAGCCTGAACCAAGAACTTTGCCATTACTGTATGTAATTGATTCCATTTAACCAATTCTAGCTCTCATCTATATCTTTTTCCTTTTATGAATAAACCTGCGGGGGCAGGAGGCAGAAGCTTGGTCCTGCGGCAGCCAAGCTCCCCCTCTCCCCCACTTCTTCGCACAACGTGGTGCATTCCGGCCCCTCCGCGGGCAGCAGCGTGCCACTCAGAATCGGCTCGCGTGCCGTGTTTGGCACACGTGCCGTAGGTTGCCGACCCCTGAACTAGCACAATGAGGGTCTGAGCCATGACTGGGGCTCCAAGATGTTACAATAATACAAATAAATCAATGGAGCTGCACCAGCGCAACCAGTAATGGTATGCAGCACTGGTGCTAACACAGGTGTTAATTACCAGATTAAGGTGTACTGCATCTCAACAGGGGTGTGCAGTGATTTAATTAAAGCAGTTTAGTTACACACAGGGTGACCAGATGTCCCAATTTTATAGGGACAGTCCCGATTTTTGGGTCTTTTTCTTATATAGACTCCTATTACCCCCCAACCCCTGTCCTGATTTTTCACACTTGCTGTCTGGTCACCCTAGTTACACAAGGGTGAATTTCTAGTTATTCCTGCCTTATCCTTCCCATGATTTTGCTTTCTCGCTTCAGTTTGCATCTTCTACAGCACTAAGCGAATGGTTGGCGCTTAAAGAATAGCATGACGAACTCAAAGCCCTCAACCCCTGCTCCCGGAAGAGGAATGCACACCAGTGTGAACACCTTCCTCAGTGTCCTCAACCAGTTTAACTAAAACCACTTCAGTTAAATCTGTGCAAACCCGTTATGTAGCCACTCATAAAACGTAACTCAAACCCAATTTGTCAGTATAGCTTAAAACAGGAAGAAACTGACTTAAGCTAAATTGATACAAACCAGGTTTACATACATTTAAGTGCCTGCACAGGGGTTTGCACTGGTTTAGCATCACCCCTTGAGTAAAACTAGTGTGGAGACTAAGCTGTAGTAGTTTAGCTTAGGCAACATACTTAATGCACATAAGTGGTTGTGCTAACCCCACAGCTACTTTTAATACTAGCGTGTTCTAGAGGCTCTCACTCATGGCCTCCATAGAAGCAGCAAAGCTGGGAGCTGCAAATACAATTAGGAAGTTGGCCTCAGAAGCCTCATGCTGTTAGCCAGTGGCTTCCATTGCCCCACCTTCATCTGTTTTGCACTGAAGACCCTGGCCCACTGTTTAGATGGCAATGCAGACCCCCCTAGTGACTGCAGGTGGGGATCGTGGGGTGAAGTGGGCATTTCCAACCCTGAAATTGTTTTGATTGAAGTGAGGCACAGCTAGGGTCCTTCCCATCTTCTAGTTCTAGGAGGCAGGGGCGATGGGTATCAAAGTTAGAGTCTTCCCCCACCCTCGTCAAACAGCATTGTGGGTCTCCTCTTCATCACACTGCTCCAATGACTGCTATTAACTAGAGTTGACTAGGACATATAGTAAAACAAGGCTCATTGCTCCTTGATGTAGGAGGCAGAGGAGAAGGGTAATAATGCCATGCAAGGGCTGCTTAAAGAGTTGGGAGCTGTATACTGCATACACAAGAGTTGACCCACCTTGCATAAGAACAGCCATACTGGGTCAGACCAAAGGTCCATCTAGCCCAGTATCCTGTCTTCTGCCAGTGGCCAATGCCAGGTGCCCCATGCCAGGTGCCCCAGAGGGAATGAACAGAACAGGTAATCATCAAACCATCCCGTCGCCCATTCCCAGCTCCTGGCAAACAGAGGCTAGGGACACCATCCCTGCCCATCCTGGCTAATAGCATTCACCCACGAAAGCTTATGCTCCAATACGTCTGTTAGTCTATAAGGTGCCACAAGACTCTTTGTTGATTTTTATTGATGGACCTATCCTCCATGAACGTATCTAATTCTTTTTTGAACCTTGTGATCGTCTTGGCCTTCACAACATCCTCTGGCATGGAGTTCCAAAGGCTGATTGTGTATTGTGTGAAGAAATACTTCCTTTTGTTTGTTTTAAACCGGTTGCTTATTAATTTAATTTGGTAACCCCTAGTTCTTGTGTTATGAAGCATAAATAACACTTCCTTATTTACTTTCTCCACACCAGTTATGAATTTATAGACCTCTATCATATCCTCCCTCGGTCATCTCTTAAAGTCCCAGTGTGATTAACTGAAGCTGTTCCATACCCCTAATTGTTTTTGTTGCCCTTTTCTGTACCTTTTCCAATTCCAATATATCTTGTTTTGAGATGGGATGACCACATCTGCACACAGTATTCAAGATGGGGGCGTACCATGGATTTATATAGAAACAATTTGAGGCAGAACCACCTGTCCCTGCAGGGCACTTTAGATCTTACTGCGCTAGTGGCATAGTTACAGTGGTAAGTCCTGCAGGAACCACAGTTATAGCAGGGACCCACTTTGTTCAGGTTTGCTACAATAGATCACAGAATGCACTCCCCACTCCCACCCTTGTGCCCCAGTGGTTAAAGGGACCCTAATGTGCTTTACAGCAGCTGGACATTTCTAGAATCCTCTAGCCAGGTATAGCAGACAGTGCTGCCCATATACTGCCCTCCCACACCTGACCCTAGCTCCTGGCTGATGTGGAGGGGCCAGCTTTGGGGCTGTCAGAATGACCTTCTCTGCCCTATTCAATGCTTGGCTGAAGACTAGCAACATGCATAATTTACAGTGTGGTGTCAGTTAAGCAGCAAGAATGGTCTTGCGGCTGAAGACTCAGGAGGTCTGAGTGCCAATTCCCACCCTAGCCCGATGCTTGCTGTGGAACCCTGGGCAAGTCACTTCACCAAGTTTCCCAGCTGCAAAACAAGGATAGTCCTTTTCACCCACACTCTGCCTGCCTTATCTAGTCAGGCTGTAATAATTTCCGTCGGGGGCCACTCCATGAATGTCTGCCTAAAGATCAAGAGCCAGATCCTCAGCTAGTATAAACTGAAAGTGCTCTATGCCAATTTACACCCACTGGGGATCTGACCCTTTTATTTTAATAGAGCTTTGCTGATTTATAGCAACTGAGGCTCTGGCCTCAAAAATTCTTTCGAGTATGTGTTTCAGAGGTCTTTGGTGGGAGAGGGGACTTAAACTTTGTGATAAAGGAAGGATTCACTTGTAACCCTTTGAATCTGGTATGGGAGTGCTGCTCTGACCCTGTATAAAAAGAAGTGGAGCAAATCCAAATCACACACACAGTGGGTGCAGCTGTTTTGTTTCTGGATTGAAATGTAAAACCAAGAAAGGAGAGATGAAAATAAAGGTTTTACAGTACCTGGATCAGTCTATCTGCCAAGGCAGCGCTCTCCTAGTGGAGATCCAGACAGGGAAGGAAAGATGGAGAAGGAAAGAAGAAGAAAAGAAAAAAAAAAGACACGACAATAACAAGGTCATTGCAGAAGCGCTCCAACCACAGCTAGAAGCACACAGGACAGCAAGACTTAGCAGCAGGAAGAGAACCCAGCAGAGCCCAGTGAGATAAGTGCACCCAAGAAGAGAAGTCTTCCAGATCAGCTAGGGCGGGGGAGTCCAAACTTTTTCACCCGACTACCTTTTGTTGCAAACAGTGGCAGCCTGCCAGAAGCCACCCCAAATCTGTACAGGAATTTGTCCAAGTGTCTCCCTTGATAGAAGGCTAATTGCTCGTTGTGTTCACCAGCAATAAACCTGCCATTGATTAGCTGGGTCTGAACCCTTCAGTTCCAGGGGGATAGAGAGCTGCTATGACAGACTTTAGGGCCATATGCTGCCTGCAGACCTTGAAGATGTTCTCAGTGATGTCCTACAAGATCGTAGTAATCAGCAATGGAAAATCCATGAGAGCCAGAGTCCTTACCACCTGGAAAGATACTAAATACTTGATCTTGGCAAGTGCTGTCAGAGAGAAGACCTAGCATCTAGGGTCTGATTTTACAGAGGTGCTGAATGCTCACGTTTACCTGCTGAGGTGGATGGGAGCTGCAGGTGCTCAGCACCTCTGAAGATCAGGACTATAGTGCCAGAGTGCAGGACAGCAGTGTGGATAGGCTGGTAGATGACCCTCGGTCATGCATAGGGCCAGGAAGCCCTAGGGTAATCAGGGATTCTCTCTGGTTCTGTAGATTTTCCTTTTAAGCTTTATTTAAATCCATTTTGTAAGTTTTTTACACAAGAACTAAGTAGTTTGAAGTATTTTACAGTGTGAGGCTGAGTGACAGAATTAGAGGCTGAGGTACAAAACTCAAGGGCAGGGCAATCAAATCAATTGCAGGCCAGGTAAATAAGTTTTAAAAGCCACACCAAAGTATGGTCAATGCCACATGGGAAAAGAAATCAGGCACTCTGCTCAGTTCCAGAGATACCCTTTTACAAGTGACCTCAGCATATCTTCACGACTTGGGCTCGATGCATTTTATTCTGCAGTTGAAGATTTAAAAAAACAAACAACAGTCTAAGCATCAGTTCAGTGACCTGGCAAGTAAGATTTAAAGTGCTTTAGCATCTCATCCAGCTTGCAAGACATTTGAACACACAAGCATCACTTTAATAGTCACCCTGACAGTATGTCTAGTCCCTGCCCTTTGACCCGGCTCCAAAGCCTTCCTTTAGAAGCCATCACTATTGTCAACAGTGCATTAGACTGACATGCCAGGTAGTGGTGTGAGTTTATGATGCGGCCTACATGGCCTGGCCTAATGGTTGCCTTTCCTGGGCACATTGATAGTGAGCTGGGACAGGCGGCTGTGCAAGGCCTCGTTTTTGGAAGCCAAGCTAGTCTGGAAGTGGAGGAGGTGGATTCGCACACGGCCCGGCATGCCTCTCACCTTCTCCAGGGTCTCGATCCGCTGCTTCAGGAGGCGGTTCTCAGTCCGGAGCCTCTGCAGAGGAAGAAGCGAGACATCAACAGGAGCTTCCTGTATGCAAGCCTGGGCTTATTAAATAGGTTGGGTCTGCCCTCTACTGGGAAGTAACTGAAATCACAGCAATGATGGACCAGAGACCTAAAGAGAACTTCTGGGCTGCAGAAAACCCTTTGCCAGTGCTTTGGGGTAGGCTCCAAATTCAGCCATAAGAATGAAGGAGGAGTAATCTCTTACATTTACATAGTGCCTTTCATTCCCTGGGAATCCAGACAGTATATATAGAGATCACCTCACTCATCTCTGAAGTGCAGCTATCTCTGGGGTGGAACATGGCAGCTGTTTAACAGCATGCAGCATCACCACACAAAAAAATGAAGGGGGCATCCGACTGAAGTTGCTGGGGGAATTTCAGTACCCAAGTGCAGTTAGCTACACAAATGTGAAAGGCCAGATGGGAGAGGGGAGCATCTGTGTTATGCTTATAAGAAGCACATGGGATCTTTTTCAGGGGAAAAGGTCTGTAAAGCTGTAATCTCTGTCCCTACAGGTCTAGCTTTGGATAACGGTGCTGGAGCACCAATAAGAAGCATTAGAGGCAGTGATCTGATGAGCTCTCAGAGTTAAACTAAGGTGGCTCCCATAACCTTTCCCTCTGTGTGCTGCTGTGATACAGACAACACTAGAGCAAGGAGGGCATGGAGCAAAGAAAGGACTTACTTTGATCTCAATCTGCTCCTCCATCTCTTTGTTTTTGATTGCAGCATACTCCTTCTCCAGCCTGAGACAGACATGCAAGCCAGGTTGGATCAAACCTGCTTCAGACCCACACGCCCCTCCCCCCCAGCAGAGCGCTCAGGGTCAGTGGGTACACCTGCAAAGGACAGGAGCTAACAATCTAGGCTGACACCACAACTCCCCTGCAGTGCCTTGTGCTGAGGCCCATGCAGCAACAGGCCACACATATTGAAGCTTCTGGGCATGATGGGGCAAATTAGTGACCCTGGATTGGGGGTTTTACATATATGCGGATTTTTACAAACACACTGCCTCACCCAAGTCTTCTATTTTTAAGTCCCCTAGCTGCATGGCTGAGGTCTTACACACTTGTAATCAACTTAAAGACCTACCACTGACACACTCCCGTCCTCAGCTCCTACTGCTTGCTCCTCAGTTGGAGCCACAATCCCAGAGAACTTGGCATCCAGATCAGCTGATGAGCAGCACAGTGGGCGGCCACAGGCCGAGGATCAGGATTTTGTGGTGAGGAGTGAGCAGCAGCACAAGAGGAACAGAGCTTGTGTGCCTGTGAGTGTCCCCAATACCATTCCTTAAACTCACCTCTCCAAGCAATCCTCCCCTGCCCCCGACTGAACCCTTTGGCTTGGTTTCATGGTTCTGCTGTTGGATAACAATCTGTCTCTCAGTACTGTGTGCTCCCAAAGGGATTCTCCTTTCTGTCCCATCTTTTGGGGAAGGGGACAGTTTTGCTCACTACACAGTACTGTGAGAGCTGGGAAGACCCAGCCTGATTGAAGGGCACTAGTCATTCAGTCAATTTACAATAAGGCAGACCAGCTACTGTAGGCTACCACGGGGGTAGGAAGTAACTAGTCCCTTAACTGAACTACAAGAAAAATTGGAATAGGCCAATTTTGCCTGATCTTTATCTTTCCAGCTTCTGCACCCTCCTTCGTACCAAGTGTCAGGATGACTGTCCCCACTTAAGAGATTCAAATTGCAGGCTTCTATCTTCCAGGAGAGGAAGGCAGGAGGTCATAGCATTCCCTGCTTGCACAGCAGGAGATGGAAGTTCGGGGTAGGAGCTATACCCACTTCCTTGGATACACAAAATGCGCCCCCCCCCAACTCCTAACAAAGCCAGAGTCCCTGCCAAGGCCAAGCAGCTCTGCCGCCATCAGCCTGCCTTGTCTCTATAGTGCGGGAAAGCTTTCATGGCCTCCCACAAGCCCATCAGACCTGCTGTCAGAGAAGGCAGTAATTCCCTTGTTATTAGTGAGTCCTCCCGCACAGCACTCACTCATCTCTTCTCTATTTTCACTGCTGCTTGCTGTGTGGCTCTAAAGAATATCTAGAAGAGCCCGCAATGCACGCTCCCTTTCCGTTCCCTGTCCTCCCGCTTAAGTCTAGTGCAGGATCCTTGAAACAGCACAGACCAAGGAGGGGTTTTTCTGCCAGTCGCCTGTCTAGGATCTTTCACAGGGTGAGGAAGCAAACTTACCTCTTCATTTTCTTGGGGTTGTATTTGACCTGGTATGCCTTCAGGATCAACTTGTCCGGGCAACTGTCGAACTGATGAGGAATCACCTTCTGGAAATACTGTGGGAAGGGAGCAGAGGGCAGGATGCATTTCTCTGAGCCCCTTTTGAGCACTCTAATAAATTCTACCCACTCTCCCCAAATCTCCTCCCATCCTCTTCATTCAGTACTTGCTTCCCCTCTCAAGCCAGAGCAGACAGCCCAGCAACTTGCCTTCCCTGCGCTACCTCAGCTCTAGTTGTTTCTGACCCTCTTGAGCAATCACTAGAAGTCTCTTACTAGTGACTACACCTTGGTGTTTCAGACCTGAGTGTTTCAAGTGCACCTGTGGAATGTGGGACTCTTTCTGAGCAGCACTTGGGTATGTTCAGTATCTGGAAAGTCTCCAAAGTTCCAGCTTCAGCAGTCAAGGAAAAGGGTGGGAAGCATAGCTGCATGAGAAGAAGCTGGATGGCTGGAGTCAGTAAGGGGGGGGGGGGGAAGGGAAGAGAAAAACAGGAGGGTATTTCTAGGAATTCTGGAGGGGATTACACCCCTTCCCCCATTTATGGCCCAGGATCATGGACAGGCTCCTGCTGACAGGGCAGCATGGACAATGCACCACTCTTGGCATTTTTATAGTTCTTATCTTAACACCAGAGGGGTGAGTTAGGGGAAACTGAGGCACAGGCAGATGACATGACTTGTAGGCTCTGAGCTCCTGCACAAGGCAGGCACAGGAGCTTATCTAATACTGTCAGTTCCAAACACACAGAGGATGTTCATGTGTTTGGTCTCGGGACATCTCAAATCCAACAGAATAGCAAAGTTATGCCTCATAGTGCCCAGGCTGCAGGGGGACTGAAAGGAAAATCACTGCAACCTAAGCAGGCCTGAAAGCACTTCTTCACCTTCTGTCTGGTGCATGACATGGACAGCACAGCGAGTTAGAGCTGTAACTGCTGTTGGGCCAGGCTCACAAAGCCCAAATTGTATTTAACACAGTAATGCATTCTCTTGTGATGCAATTGAATTATTCGCCCTTCCCACCAACTGCTTGGACTCAGCAGTGGGTCCCACGCAGCCAAGAGGTTGGTACTGCATCATCTGCAGTCTAAGCAGAACAAAAGTCACAGTTACTGGGCTGTAAGATTAATCCTGTGCATGGCACTGCTGGGATAAATCTTACACATTGCAGGCAACTATTTCACTGTTTGGAGAGTGAGAATATCTATTGGGGATTCTTTCACATCTCACCTTTGAAATTGTGCCTGAGGAAAAAGGAGACTGCCTGTAGAAGTTGCTTAAACTCACTTTTCACAAAGTTCTGGACTCAGGTTCTGGGCTAGACTGGGACTAGAGGGTGGCAGGATGTAAGAGAGGCTGCTCAGACTCCTGGCCCACTGAGTTTCAGATGCATGGCAGGATGAGCCTCTTCAAGGCTGGAAGCACACCAGTGTTACACAGAGCAGTGTCACACCACAAGAGCTCCAGACCACTCTGTGCTGATGCATGGGCCAGTCACTAGGAAATGGGCTGACCTTGGGAGTTATACTGGGCATCTTCTATTTATACACTGGGTATGGCCAGCCAATCAGAGCTCAACAGGATTATGGGTAGGGCCCTACCAAATTCACAGCCATGAAAAACACAACAGACTGTGAAATCTGGCTCCCCCCCGTGCAATCTGGTCTTGTGTGCTTTTAACCTATACTATACAGATTTCACTGAGGAGACCACAGTTTCTCGAATCGGGGGTCCTAACCCAAAAGGGAGTTGCAGGGGCATTGCAAGGTTATTTTAGGAGGGGGTGTGTCGCGGTATTGCCACCCTTACTACTGCACTGCTTTCAGAGCTGGGCAGCTGGATAGCAGCGGCTGTTGGCCAAGCGCCCAGCTCTGAAGGCAGCCCCCCCCCGCCAGCAGCAGCATGGAAGTAAGGGTGGCAATACCATATCATGTCACCCTTACTTCCTGGCCAGCAGCCACCGCTCTCCAGCTCGGAAGGCAGTGCTGCCCCACCAGCAGTAGCGCAGAAATCAGGGTAGCAGTATCACAACCCCCCCTGTACTATAACCTTGCAACCCCCCTCCACAACTCCTTTTTGTGTCAGGACCCTTACAATTACAACACCATGAAATTTCAGATTTAAATAGCTGAAATCACAAAATTTATGATTTCTAAAATCCTATGACCGTGAAATTGACCAAAATGGACCGTGAATTTGGTGAGGCTCTTTCTACCACAACTGCATGGCTGAAGTATAAACCCCTCCCTAGAGGGCAGTTTGAGTGCAATGTGGAGCTGCTCTGACCTGCGACATCCCCTCCATATCCAGCTGCATCAGCTCTGCCTGGTTGAACTGCAGGAGGGCCATCCCCACACGGAAGACGATCTCCAGCCCCTATGGCAAAGCAGAGAAGTTTCAGCCCCAGACACAAGGCTCATGTGGCATTTGAGAGTGCAATAAAAATTAGGTGCCCAAGCTCTGGGCTGCACAGAGGAGGAGGACAGGGAAAGGCACCCAAGGCCTGATTCTCATTTACAACCAGGCCCGGACATCACTCTGGCAATAAAAAGAGCCTTAAAGTAAATGTAATTTATGCCCACACTAAGCTCCCTTTACCCTGCCAGAGCAATGATGACACAAGAACTTCACTGCCAGAGCCACATAAAGGGGCCTTTAGCATAACTGAGAATTAGGCCCTGAATTTCTAGTGGGTCACACAAAAGCCTCACTGGGGGAAAATTGTGTCAGTTTTCTTAGGATCAGCTACAAGTTAAAGCTTACATCTCAAATTTGCACATACTGTGTGGTGAACCCAAACTCTGACCAGCTCAATGGTCCCTAAAGGCAACTTGCCAGGCTCAGGGAGGACAAACAACTAACTTGCAGAAAATGGGCATATGCAAATACCTCATCCTGAGTGCAGGTCTGGTCAGCCAGATCTAGGGTGACCAGATGTCCGGATTTTATAGGGACAGTCCAGATTTGGGGGTCTTTTTCTTATATAAACTCCTTTTACCCCTACCCCATCCCGATTTTTCACATTTGCTGTCAGGTCACCCTAGCCAGACCCCTTGGATCAAGAAGGCTGACTAGGACCTATCTCCCCACAACTCCATGTGTTGCAGTTTGGCCACCGCTAGCATAGAAATGACTCCAATTTACACACACACACACACACACACACACACACACACACACACACAGAGCCCAAGGATACTTCTGCTAATAGGGCCAGACTCAGTGGGGAGGAGTGAAGTGCAGTATAGGGTTCCTGCCACTAAGCTGTTCCCCTTGCTGGGCCATCAGGGCTAATCATTGCTGATTTTCAGTGTAATCTCATCTAGTCGCCCAGGAATGAAAGAGATTCAATGGGAGTTTGGGGTGCTCAGTGTCATTGGAAAAAAGAAAATCAGGATCCAGGTTTTTAAACACATCAAGCACTGTGTAGCAGGGAAACCCCTTTTTTATTTTACAAGGCAGCCTAAGCAAGATCTAACGAGGTTCTTCTATTCAAGCAGAAAATGCAGCTGTGTCTTTTTTAAATGATTTATCTTGTTCTCAATTAATCCCTCCCAGATGCTGGCATTGTTGCCTTTGAACACTGCACTGAGAAAAGCAATATCAGAAATCCCTGTGAGCCCATGCTCATGCCCCCAGTCGTCCTGGTATAAAGCACTTTACCTCATACATGAAGATGTCAAACACTCGGGTGGCCACAGGCAGAGGGAAGGTCGTGAGGAAGAGGGTGAGAAACCAGGACGACGAGTACATGGAGGTGAGGAAACTCTGGGAGCGGAAGTGGATGTTCAGCTCAGGCAGCTGCTCCTGAATATGAGAAAGAAACAGCAGACGTTTTACTACTGCTGATAATTACAGCCAACTGGGTCCCACCATCCCCTCTGGGATATGGGAGTCTCTTGGCCAGAGGAGGCTCTCAACTATCAGAGCTAAGGACTCCATTGCAGGAACCAATTCCATTAGCCGCTCCGGTCTTCTCTAACACTCCCAGGGGAATCTGGAAAGGAGCCAGACTTCTCCAGCCTGGATTCACAGACCATCATGTGCACAAAGAAACTACTGGCCAGTTCCCCATACTTAGCCTGCTACTGCTCTGGATCACATGGTCTCATTGTCTAAGCTACTACCACCCTGGTCTCCTTGCTGTATTTACCTGCAGCATGTACTCAAACTGGTAGATGCAGAGGCCCAGCTCAGCCATGCTGGGTTTGAATAGCTCTCGTAATCGATATTCCTGCATCAGTCGCACAAACACACAGAAAGCCTCTTCTTCAGGCATCTACAGGTGCAAAACGAGACAAATCCCACATTAGTCTCGCAACAGAACCCGGCACAGAACCGACCCAGAACGATGCTCTAACATAGATCAGACAAACACTTGTTACGAGAGGTGGAGCAGCTTTATGTAGAACAATGCGTTACATTTGGGTTTGATTCCTGACACTTCTGGGCAGTGATCACGTGGAAACAGCAGGAAAATAGCTTGGCCAGCGACTGCTTACATAATCCCACTCGTATACTGACTAGTACCTTGCCATGCTGGGCCCTCTTCTCCCCAGTAGGTCTACATTGATTTTACGTGTCATTTGTACAGAGCATACAGTAAATTTATGCTGGACCTTACAAACAGATTAGTCTGATCTAGAAAGGTTCTAAAAAGGTGAAGGGGAGGCCCAATGACTTTTCTCCACCCACCCCCTTCCATTCCAATTTTAGGGATCACTAGTGTGAGATAAGGGTCAAAACAGGCACCGAGGAAACAAAGGAATATTCAAAACATTTGCCAAGTGGTTTGCTGATTATGAGAGGAAGCATCTAAATTCCTGGCCAGATGCATTAAGTGTGTTGATTCACCTGTGAAGTGTTTCAGAGGCATTTCCAGCAGAGCTTCATGACAAAACAAGTACTGTACTTAGCTTTTCTTCTTTAAAAGTCCTTCCTTAAAACCCTCCACGGCATATGCTTCACAGAGTGAGGTGGTGGATTTGGGCTTTTAAACAGGCTTTGCTTTGTTACACAAATTTAGGAAGGATGTCATATTTTATGCTCAATGTCAATGGAAAATTCCTGTTCCCTAATAAAGACACTCTGGCACCTGAGAGAGGACACTTTCCAGAAATGGCAGAGAACTAGAAACGAGTCAGCACAGCTCAAGCTGGCTGCATTCACAGTCCAGAAGGTCACTAACTCTGGTCCCAGGGTTTGCATTTGTATTGACAGTGCAGTAAGCGGCAGGGGTCCTTTGAGTGAGCCATTAAACCAAGTCCCTTCTGCCAAGTCTCGGGGGGAAGTTAAAGATCCTGTGGCATTTCCACAGAAATTAATTGAATTGGGAAGAGCTTTGGGCTAGCAACTTTGGTGGGACAGGTGCTGCATAATCTCATGCTATATGATCTCCACTCACACCAACCTGCATTAGCAGCAATCCCACGATGAATGCGCTGCCCTGACAATATCCAACCTCACGGTCCACTAGGGAATAGGCCTGGAAGAGAGAGTGCTTAAGTGTGAAGCAGGCAGGGATACGGTCTCTAGAGTCCTGCAGGGGAGCTAGAGAGCTCTGACGGAACATACTGAGACACAAGTGATAATTACTTAGAAGAGAGCATAAGGGCAAGGAGTAAGGCAACAAAACCAAGGGTCATGGAGGTTGGAGGCCAGAGGAAGGAACTTGGGAAAGGATACTGCTTTTCAGGACCAGGAAGTAGCTTAAGTATTTCTATGCAGCCCCCCCCCGCCCACACACATGCAGAGAAATGTATCTCAGATTAAATTGCCTGCCTACAATGTGCTCTCCTGTGCCCAGGGACTGCAGCCAGCAAACGTAGTGCTTTAAATACCATAAAGCTGCATTAACGGTCTATAGCAGGGTCTGATAAGAAACAGAACTTATATCAACCTCCAGTTACTGTCAGAAAAGCAACTAGGTAGAAAGAGTGCACTTGCCAAACACACATGGGACATTTAACAGAGTCTAATATGCCCCCACTGCAGCCACATGTATTCCAATGAGAGTCCAGCCACAGAATCATAGCACAAATAGCACTCGCTCTCTCTCTGCAGGTGCAGAAAGACTGATTTCTTGGAATGTAATGAAGTTATCACTACAGATTTAAATTAAATCCACAGAAAACTTCAATGGAGGGTGGGGACAATCTATGCCTTTCCCACAACAGTTATTCAAAGACATGAGAAAAACTAAATAGAAAAGAACAAACAAGCTGAAGGCCATAATCAAAGATTAGGTCCCATTAACATTTAAAGGATTCCGTTCTCTCCTTAAGCCAGGCCACTCACAGCCACTGATGAGAATGAGGAGTTATGTCCCAATACGGGAAGAAACCTGCCTGCATAGCAAAGCAGCTCAAAGTCAGACTCTCAACCTGAAAGCTGAAGAGAATCGCTGTGAAATGCATGTGGAGACAAAGCTTTATATTACTAGCCTATCTAAGCTGCCCCCAGGTAATGGTCAGTATGTTTGTGACCAAGGTGTCATTTGTGATACCACGAATGGAAGGCAGCCTCTGGGAGGTAGGGCTGAAAAAAATGGCTACTAAAGGACAGAAAGAAGAGTGGTGCATTATACATGTGAGATGCTGTATTTATTTTCCCTCAAGGGCTTCCAGATCACAACTGCTCAATTCCCAGCACTAAGTTTACTAAGATTTCTGTAACCACCAGTGCTTGCAAACTATCACTGGGAGGTGATGTTCAAGTGGGTTCTCCCTGCCTCCACCCTTGGCCCCAGTAACAGAGATTTTACAGTTGGAATTTACCAAACAATACTGTTGAGGCATGAGGCAGAATCCAGCTTGCTCTCCCATAGCTGGATTGTCTCCTTCAGGACTCTGATGTTTCCACAGAAGTCTCAGATTGGTGTCGAGGCCACTGGAAGTGAGTTTGTGGGCTCAATTGGCTTGTCGTAGACTACCGTGCACCCAGAAACCATCATTGCAATTGACCTCCTGATTGGGAGCCTCAGAGACAACCACTGAATGGGCTATGGAGACTGGAGGACCCCGAAGTCCCTCAAGAGTCCTTCTAGAACAAGGCAGCATATTGGCAGGGGAAGTTTGTATTGTGGCTGCCCATGGGGCGTACCCGTTTTTGGTGAGATAATATCTAGCTCTTACACAGCACTTTTCATCATAGATCTCAAAGTGCTTTAGAAGACTTCAAACTCCAACACCTTTACATTCCAGAGGAATGGATGTGCTTTCATCCATTATTTAATAATTGAGACACTTTGCTGATGTGCCACCAAAACCATAATTTCACCAGAGAAAACTGAAGAGCTTTAAACCACTGTATACAGCCCTCCATGTATTTATGCAACAAGAGATAAGAACTGACACCGAGGCTGTGGCAAAGGTCCTGAGATTGCAATGAGAAACATTAAAGGGAAATTGCCTCTCATTTCTCAGGTGCTTTATTAGCCCCCTCTTTCTAAGCCCATTTTCCTTATTTGAATGTCTCTTTCATACTGTGTCTTTAACAGGCAAAACCACACTCAGTGTTTTAAGGGGAAAACATGCTGCAGTGCTTTGCAGTCGACAGGGTGTTTTCATTTAATATGCCTTCACAGCTAGAAGAACAACTTGGTATACACGGTCCCTTCTTACACCATCTCCCTAAGTCAGATGAAACTGACAAGTTACCCAGGTTCCTGTTAGCCCTGCAAGACCCATAAAGTTACAGCAGAGCCAACTGGATACTAGTCTTCCTCATCCTGTCAGATATCATCACTGGGGAGGATATGAGGGGTTGGAGGAAGAGAGTTCCCTGGCTGAAGTTGTCACTAGCTTCTCACCGATGGGTCAGGACTATGAAAATGATGGGGAAGACAGATGGAGGAGGATACTCTCTGGAGAACGCTCTGTAGCCCAGTCCCCTTGAAGTATTTAGTGATATCGGCCCTCCAACATCTTTGGTACACACTCAATACAGGCTTCACACAAGAGAACCTCTCCAACCCCTTATTCTGTACATACTCACAGGTTTAACCTTCCCAGATCCTTCAGATAGCGTCCCTGCCTGGTGTTATTCCTCTAAGCATTCCCTTAGCAAGCAGCCCTTTCTCTGGCACTGTCTCTCCCTCCTCCTGACTAGGAAGTACCTGTATTTTTTAGGGCTCAGACTCCTCTGACTCCCAGCATGCTTTGCTAAAGACTACTAATAGCCCAGGGTCCCTCCCCTGTTCTAACAGTGAGTGAAATGAGATGGATCACACCCTAACCTGAGGTAGGCACAAACTCTCTTCAGACTACTTCCTAATAAGACTTGCTTCTTACAGGGCTTGGGGTTTTCAACCCCACCCCATATGAGAGTTTACTCTGTCACAGACCTGGCATTCAAGAAAGTGAAATGGAATTTACGTATCTTCCACTGAGTCACTTTTCTGACTGTAAGCCCATTTTGAGAGAGTGCAGTGCTTGCATCATATGCTGCCATGGCTCACATACACAATCTGCTCATATGCTAGATACTGCCCTCCAATGTGACCATTACAGGTGGCTCCTTCTTACCTTCATGACATTGAAAAGGACCTCTTGGCCTAGGCTGTCCTGTCCCTTGAAAAACTCATGCTCAGGATATGTGCGGGCTATATCCCTCCGGATCAGCTTCTCGCAGGGAGAAGACATCTTCAGCAGCTCTGAATACTGGTTCTTGACAGGCATATCTGTGGCACTGCACAGCAGCTGCCATACGATGGCTCGGAAGTGGTGTGGGATTCCTTTCCGTATGAGCTCCTGGTGAAAAGCAAGGTATGGCAGATCATGAGGCAGCATGGGAGAACGTTTCAAAATCCTGGTATTTTATATGGCCCCTCTTTGTGCCACAAGAGGTGAGTGGGGTTCAATCCTCTGCATGAGCTTGTGCTGATGCACTTGCGGGCAAGGGTTTGGGATGCTGCAGAGAACCCTGAAGAGGATCCATCCCTTCTCACTTGTGATTGAGATCGACAGATATGGGGGTGAGTAGGGAAAGAATGTTTGTGGCTCTAACCCTGTCCTAGGACTTGCCACAGAGGAAATCAAACCACCTTTGACCCTGAAAAGGATCTCAGGTTTTGCTGGGAAGAAGCATGGGGTGGGGGTGGGGATGTCTGTGCTATCAGCCTCTCAATTTCTCGCTAACCTGCCCTCTTTCCTCACCTTCAGCAGTTTCTCTTTCTTCTTCCGCCATTCGTCCCATTCGTTGACAATCCTCCCCCATAGGATCCAGGTGTCCTCCTCGAGGTGGCTTAGGTTTGAGGAGGCTGAGGAGCTGGAGACTAAGGAGGAGCCGCTGTTCCTGCGGGAGCCATTCATGGAGCGCATGGACTTGGAATCTGCTTCCAGCAGCCTGCAAGAGATGCCATTGCCATGGTGAGACCAGAGCTACTGCCACCCCTTGCAAGAGATGCCACCACCATGGTGAGACCAGAGCTACTGCCACCCCTTCCCAGATTCCACGAAGCAAAGCCACAAGGGCAACAACCAAGCAACCATCCAAGCCACGCAGCAAGACCACCAGAGCAAGCCTGTCCCCTCGGTGCTGTACATCACATGCAGGGAGCTAACACTCCTCATCCAAAAAGAAAGCTCCTCTGCAGGAAGAAGAGCTATTAAAGTCACCAACCTCTGCAGCAAAAGCAGAAACAGGAGGGAGCATTTAATGTGTTACTACATTTTATTTTTAAAAATAAGAGTTCAAGTTTGTGTGTTTCAGGAAGTGATTTGGACTCAAAGATTCCATCATGGAACACAGACGTTTTTTGTCAGGGGATCTTTTAAGAACAAAGTTTAACTAGATTTGCAATAGAGCTTTTTGAGAGGGAATTTACACCAGCAGTTACTCCTAGGGGAATTCTGTAAAAAAAAAAAAAAAAAAAAAAAAAAAAATTCTGCAAAATTTATTTGCAAAATAACACTATATAATCAAGCCAGATTCAATTATTTCAGCAAGTATGTCTGTAACAATACAAACACACAATTTCCCCCAGGATTAGAGAGTTAAAGAAACTCCTACAACAACGCAGTTCCTGTTTCTCTGCCCCCTCCCCTACAGAGCCCAGCCAGGGGGCCTGACACCTCTCCTCCCCCCAGAGCCCAGCCATGTCCCATCCCAGCCCAGACACTCACACCCCCTCAGAGACCAGCTGCAACCCCCTCCTCCGCCCAGACACTCTCACCCTATACCCCCAGGAGGCCAGCTGTAGGGCAACCCCCACATCCCAGACACTTACACCCTCTCCCCTCCAGAGCCCAGTTGCAACCTGCGCCCCCCAGCCCAGACACACATACTGCCTGCCCCCCTAGAGGCCAGCTGTGGGCGCCCTGCCCCGACCCAGGCATTCACACCCTCTATCCCTCTGGATCCCTGCGCTCTAGGGGTAAACAGCCTGATGCTGGGTCCCAGTTTCCTGCGCACCGCTGCCTCCTTCGTTCAGGGCTTGCTGGGAACCCTCCAGTTCCCTTCCCCCTACCCCCGGCCTTGTCTTCTATTTGTGAGCTGAGCTCTGCCGGGTCCAGCAGCCCCTACTGGCGGCTAGCAGCACTGCAGCCCATTTCGGGGGGGAGGGGGGGTTGGAAATTCTGCGTGCACAACATTCATTTCTGCAAAATTCTGCATTGTGCAGTGGCGCAGAATTCCCCCAGGAGTAAGGAGTGCAACCAGAGGCCAGGGCAAACCCTCTATACTCCTGTGGGAGGATCTTAGAATCTGTCAATTTCCAATTTAAGCTCTTTAACCCTTCTTGTTTTCTGTTTCAAAGGAAGATACCAACCTTTAAATACAGTCAGAATTAACTGGCAACGTGAACTCCAGCATGTCACCTTTTGCAAGTCACTTTAATAATCTGTTTTGATACCCCTCTTAATCTAGCTGGGGGGGGGGGGGGGGGGGGCTATTCAGCACATTGCTACTTTTAAAAATAGATTAAATGTAAACCTTAATGTTATGTTGTTAGAACACAACACATTAAAGTTTACATTTCATAAGGGAAAGAATAACTGACATCAGCCTATGTACAACACAGCCAAGTTCACTTATTCCTGGGCCCTTGATCTGACAACCCTAATGCTAGGGGCCTTTGCATTTAATTGCCTAGGAAAACAGAAGTCTGGAGTTAATCAGTGCACATACTTTCCACACTCCTCTGTGGCTTTATGTATTCTTGCTCCACTGCTGAACTCTCATGCCCTGGCCTGAAGGAATTCTGATCAAACTTTAAAAAAAAAAAACTGCCTTTGGGCAGAGATCAAACTAGAAGGTAGACTAAAAGGTGAATGATTCAGAAAGTGATGACCCTGGATTACAGGGTGTTATGATAACTGAAGATGTCTGGAGACCTTACATAGGAGATATTGGCAAGAATCAGAGTCCTTTCACTCCGTGTCCATGGCACTTAGGGTGACCAGACGTCCCGATAAAACCAGGACTGTCCCAATTTTGAGGAGTTTGTCCTGCGTCCCGACCGAAGTACGGTATTTTGGTTCGGGCTATTTTTTTTTTTTTTTAAACACACTCACCCGTCCGGGTCTTCGGCGGCATTTCGGCGGCGGGTGCTTCTGTCTTTGGTGGCAAGGTTTATTACCCGCTGCCGAAATGCCGCTGCAGACCGTCAGCGACTGAAGGACCCTCTGCTGAATTGCCGCCGAAGACCTGGACGGGTGAGTGTAACAATTAAAAAGGCGCCCCCCCCTGCGGCGGTCCCGATATTTTCCACTTAGCATCTGGTCACCCTCATGGCACTTAGCACAATTGGGCCCCAACCCTGGCTGGGGCTACTGTAGCATTAAATTATTATTCCCTTATGATGCCACCACGTGGCCATTTAATATAATTGCAGGCTATGTGGTGTAAATCGGCATAGCTCTACTGAAGTCAATAGAAACAGGGCAATTTAAATCAGCTGAAATTCTGGCCCTACATTTCAGGATACTGAAGTGTTTTACAGAGAAACTGTATGCAGTGTTGTAGTTGCGTTGGTCCGAGGAGATTAGAGAGACAAGGTGGGTGAGGTAATAAGACCAACTTGCATTGATGAGAGAGAAGCTTTTGTGCTTACAGAGAGCTCTTCTTCGGGTCTGGGAAATTTAAGCAAATTTGTAACTTTGCAAGACACAAAAAATCATGGATTGAACGGACACTGGATTTATGGTTTATTACAACTCCTATTCCCCCCCCCCCCCCATGACTGGAGAGGTGTTAACAGGCCACTTCACCTTGAATGGTCCCTTGAAATGTGTTAACTGCTTATGCTAAACAATCTGTTCCACCTTGTATTTAGCTGTGACACTCTGAGTACATTTCCCAGATCTTAAGAACTCCATGTAAGCTCGAAAGCTTCTCTCTCACCCCAACACAAGTTGGTCTTATTACCTCACCCACCTTGTCTTTCTTACAAGGAAACTGAAAGGCAAAGCAAGAAGAGAACTCTTCTCCTTTCAGTGAAATGCTACCACCCCTGGGATGGGACACAGCAGGTTTAAATTTTATTAAAGAATATTTGAAAAATAAACAGTACAGAAAATTTGAGGCATCAGTTATTGGTCATTGGGGGTAACATACAGAGTATAGGGGGGATGTTAGTGTTTTGGGGTTGGGCAGCACACAATATATACAGACTGCAGTGTCCCCAATGGGGGGGGGGGTAACTGGTGGGCGGGATCAGGATAGAACCGACAAGCGGTGAGGGTGTATCACCCATGCAGAAAGTTGAGACAGTCATGGGTATAAGTAAGTGGGCTGGGTAATGGGGATGGGGTGACCCTCACGTGGTGGGATTCAGTTAGGTTCGGTGGGTTCAGGGCTCAGGGGATAAAGTCCAGCAGGGGGGGTTTATAGGTCTCTTCCCCCATTTAACAACACACAGCAACACTGTGCTACAGTTTAGGACAGGAAATGAAGATGAGCTACAAATTAAACTGCACAGGGAGTTTTAAGCATGCAAGATACAGTAACCCAATTTGTAATCTGGCCAGGACAACAGAGATATCACCCCCCCACTCTTGCTAGAAGTACCATTGATCTGCAGCCACTACAAGCAGACAGGACCTCTGCTTTCCATTTCATCTGAAGACAGTCATTTTTTAACAGGATTCTGCATTTTCCTTCCAGTCACTCAAAGACAATAGAGCTTAGAGCTGGTCGTGTTTCCTTTTAAACATTCAGCAACTAAGAAATCGGATGTGCTCAGGGACACTCAGGTATGCCCCCTCAGAGCAATCAGAGAGGGAAGGAAATCTACAACTGAGCTACAGAGTCCGATGCCTATTGGGGCAGAAATGGGTAATGAAAGTGGCTTTTGTTATCTGCAGCACAAGCTAGGGCCGTGTAGAGTGACTTCCTGATTTGAGACTAATAGTTACTCTTAATATAGTATTAAACTCAGCAATGAACCTGAACAGAAAAGGAGTCTCCCCTTCTAAAAATTCTCAACGTCACTTTAAGAAAAGTCACCTTCTTGATGAAAAGAACGTGGCATATTATGGGGCTGAGTGGGACACAGAGAGAAGCAGAATGGAGGCAGTTTCAGTGCACAGGGGATACAGTATAGTTTCAGGGGACATTCTAAAAGATGGGAAAGGGTATTGAATCTGGTGCCTTTCTGAATATCAGTTCATCCTACCAACAGCTGCACCTTTCTGCTTTCAAGTTCAGCTGGCAAGGTTGTCCGCCATTTTTTGATTCAGTGTCATCAAATTAGGGACTGATTGATTGGCTGCTGAGGAACAGGGAGAGGAAAGTCTGAGGAAACAGGATGATCAGTACCTGGCAAGGTCAGTGTCCCCCATCCTCTTCCTCACACTGTGTAATTCCTCCCCCTCCCCACCACACACTGCATCCCCCAGATGTCACCCTGTTGATAGGAACCTCCTCCAGCAGCATCCTTGCCATAGTGCAATCAGAGATCTAGGAGAAGCATTTGCTTTTGTGGCCTGGATTCTTTGAGACAGAGAATCATAGACTGAATTGTTTGCTAAAGTCCCTCCTGCTACAGGGGGAAGATTAGCCTCCGACTCATGATGAAAGGAAGGAAAATGGCATTTATAGGGTCAGGGCTGGAACTATGCAAAGCCAACAGACACAGATTCCAAGGCCAAAAGGCACCTTTGTGATCATCTAGTCTGACCTCCTGTATAACACTGGTCATAGAACTTCCTCAAAGCAACTCTGGTGCCCTCAGAATGGTTTTACCAGAACAGACCTCACTAACAAAACCATTCATTTTACACTCAGAAAAAAAAAATCTCACCTGGAGAATGAGAAGAGGCCTGGGGATGGAACTCAGGTTGGCAACGTGGCCATTGTGCTGCGTTGATACTGAGTGCACATACAGGGATTCACATTTGCTCTTG